GTTGCCATTCCCTCTGAGCCATCGACACGAATATACAATCAAAATACTGATTGGGACATATACAAGGACATCATCTCTCAAAACCTAGAACTTATCATTAAATTGAAAACAACAGAGGATATTGAAAACAGTATTGAAAAATTCAACTACATAATTCATATGGCTGCCATCAAAACAACCCCTACAAAAAATACAAATCCCCCTCATAGAGAATATCCAAAGAAAGCAGTAATGAAAGCACTAGAGAGTAGAAAATTAAGGAAAGAATGGCATAGGACTAGATATCCTTCGGATAAAACCAAATTAAATAGAGCCTCAGAGGAATTGAAGAAAATGATTAGCGACTTTGAAAATCTCAGCTTTCAAAACTACTTAACTCGCCTGACTCCTAACAAAGACACTAATTATTCACTGTGGCGCGCGACTAAAAACCTCAAACGACCTGTAAACCACATCTCGCCAATCAAAAAAAGAGATAACACCTGGGCCAGATTAAATTATGAAAAAGCGACAGCCTTTGCTGTTCACCTCAAAGATGTCTTCACCCCTCTTGAGACTAGGAATGAAGAAAAGGATAAAGAAATTAGGGTTTTCCTTCAATCACCCAACCAATTATGCCTACCACTAAGAGCAGCAACCCCTAAAGAAATTTCTAGAGAAATTATAACACTACCCACTGGAAAAGCGCCAGGGTATGATCAAATTGATTCAACCCTAATAAAGAACCTCCCGAAGAAGGGCATAATGTTTCTGGTGATGCTCTTTAATTCATGCTTAAGACTGAGCCATTTCCCATCCCAGTGGAAGATTGCACAGGTGGTAATGGTGCCTAAACCGGGCAAACCAGTAGAGGAAACCTTATCATACAGACCTATTAGTCTCCTCCCTCTCTTGGGTAAACTTTTTGAGCAAATAATACTCAACAGAATGTACGCCCACCTAGAAGAAATTCTCCCAGAACACCAATTTGGCTTTAGACAGAAACATGGTACTATAGAACAGGTGCACAGAATATCAAACACCATAAGCCAAACTATTGAAAACAAGCAGTTTTGTTCAGCAGTTTTCTTGGACATAAGTCAGGCCTTTGACAGGGTTTGGCACATGGGTCTTCTTTACAAAATAAAAAATCAGCTACCTCACTCATTCTACTCCATTTTGGCAAGCTACTTAAATAAAAGGTGCTTTGAGGTAAAAGTTCAAAATGAAACATCAGAGTCCCACAGGGCAGTATTTTAGGTCCAGTTCTATACCTCATATTTACTGCTGATATACCAAAAAAAGAAGATACTATGATGGCCACGTATGCAGATGATACTGCTATATTATCGGTGAACACCGAGGCTGCATCCGCATCAACAACGCTCCAAAGGCATCTCATAGAAATTGAAGAATGGCTAGGGTTATGGAGAATAAAGGCAAACAACAGTAAATCGGTCCATGTCACCTTCACTCTTATAAAAGGCGATTGCCCACCAGTTACCCTTAACGGAGAGCAAATACCGCACTCTGACAAAGTCAAGTATCTCGGTATGCACTTAGATAGAAGACTGACATGGAAAAGTCACATCTGGACTAAGCGGAAGCAACTTAATACAAAATTCCGAAGCTTGTATTGGTTTGTAGGCAAGAAATCCCAACTATCTAATGAAAGCAAAATGTTATTCTACAAAGCAATCCTCAAGCCATTATGGACGTACGGCATCGAACTATGGGGCACAGCATCCAGCAGCAACATTGATATCTTGGAAAGATTCCAAACCAAGAGCATTAGGTGCATGTATAACATACCTAAATGCATCAGCAATAAATATATTTTACGAGATCTAAATCTTAATACTGTGAAACAAGAAATCTCCATAAGAAGTTCCAAGTATCAGACCAAGTTATCGAATCATGTAAATGCCTCAGCTAATAAACTAACAGGCACTGGCAGCGTTCAGCACTCAAGACTGAGGAGAAACAGTGTTCCCTCCCTCAAAAACCGTTTTCCAACATTATAAAGAGTGAAGTCAATAGACTCCTCATTAAACTGTCAAACACCAAGCGGTCACCGGTGACCGCAACCTATTGTTCTATAATTGTGTCTATAATAACGGTATTTGACGAGTTAAATTAAAGACACACTCAGGCTGAGGTCAAAGAAAATAACAGCTAAATGTGTAAAAACAGATTGCTGTGCTAAGCAGGATTGGAAAAAAAAAAAGTTAATCGCGAGATAATCGTACGTTTTTCAGAAAAGTGTTTATTTAACTTTTTCCTTTTGGAAGTTGGTTATTAAAATTAATAACCAACTTCCAAAAGGAAAAACTACCAAAAAGGCGCGATTGAAGTCAATTGTTTTTAACGTAGTTTATAATTAATTGTGAAGTCGTTTAAATAGAAATAATTTTACAAATAGCAATTAACCTGTGTTTAAAAACGTAAGTTAAGCAAGCGGTATGAAATAAATACTGCATCTATTACAATTTTTATAGGTTGTCCATGTCCGCCTAGACCAAAACAACGGATGACCAAAATAAAAACTTCCTCGAATATTCATACTCCAAAATTGACGAGTATCTTAAGAAAAAGTTTAGTAAAAATTCGAAAAGATATTCGTAAAGGTAAGCTATGAAATTTTCACCAATCATATATTGTTATATCTTTGCTAGTTATTTTAGGTGTGAGCACACACATAACGCCTCGTGTTCACGAGGCAACACTTGATACGCATGTCGGTTGATCTACCTACATGAACGTCAGGACGGGATTTTTAGGGATCTTTGATAAACCACGTTGTCAGTCTACACAAATTAATAATGACTAGTGTTGATTTTAGTGACACTTGTTTGTTGTTCGTCACATAACATAACATAACATAACAAAATAGCACACACCTTTAACCCCAGGGTAGGCAGAGGTGCACATTATGCCGCTGTACAATGTAACAGCCACTTTTCACTATCTATGTTATGAGTCCCATGTAATAGGGGGTGATCCTATTGTCACATATCAGGCATAATATTCCAGACTCCGTGCTACTACTGAAAATTAAAAAAAAACCAGTAACACTTTGTTCGGGAATCGAACCCGAGACCCCTTGCCTATTGGACAAGACACTTTGAATATAACACCGCATCGACATGTACATTGTACATGTATTATATTTTATTCTACGTTTTAAGAAGTAATTGCAGCCATTTAATAGATATAGAAGAGAAACTTTATCATATTAAGAATATTGAAAATTGTTAATGAATGTAATGGTGAATTGTCAGTAGAAAGCTGTGACAAACAGTGGACGAAGCATGACATAAAGGTCAAACTTGGCACCAAAAAGGGTAACATTGAAATTTTGAAGGAGATCTGTAAAGGCAAGTAATTAACTAACAGATTAATAATTTTGGTTTTTTCAATAATTCAAACTTAAAACTGACCACGGTGTTAAAACCTATATTACTAAAATAATGTACAATTATATTTTGACACAAATAGCAACTATAATACAATACACGACTCGTATATAAAGGTCTCTTTTGAGGTGGAAAATCAATGGTCTTTTACTTCTCCTGCTCAAACGCCCATATAATAAAAGCCTATTAATTTTAAGTTGCGCAAGCACAGTTCTGTCACTACAAATCTTCTACATCTATATATATATAAATGAAACCCGTTTCCCGTTGTCAGGCCATAACTTGAGAACGGCTATACCGATTTGGCTATTTTTTTTTTTGTTGTGTTTTTTATCGTCTGTCATAAGACAGAAAAAGTCCAGAAAATCCTACTGGAATGGGAGAAACGGGATTGCGAGAACGAAGTCGCAGGCAGAAGCTAGTATTTAAAAAATATGAAACCCGTTTCCCGTTGTCAGGCCATAACTTTAGAACGGCTAGACCGATTTGGATGATTTTTTTATTGTGTTTATTATTGTCAGGAGAAGTAGTAGTAAAAATCCTACGGGAACGGGAGAAAACGGCATTGCACGTACGAAGTCGCGGGCAGAGGCTAGTTCTTTATAAATTGAAAGAGATGGCACGATATTTAAGTACAAATTGAGTATAGTATTCGGGCGTAAATGACTTCTTGTTAGCAAATTTTTAACAAGCAATGTATTCAATGAAATCCATGAGGTATATATTTTGTAAAAGTATGCTACAGTAATTATTTTTTATAGCTATCAAAAGCGGCAGAGTATCGGCATCACTTATAGAACTGGCACTCAGTAAGAAACCTCATCAAAAAGGGCCATACAGAAAACTTGAAAGTCAAAAGTTTTATAGAAAACCGATGACCCAAAAACGAATAATTATCAAATTAGGCACTAGCGTTGGCCAGGAGAAGATATTGAGGAAAGTTGGTAAAGGTAATCATGTAGATTGTTAATAATAAATTTTACTGTATTGTTTCAAGTTAATTTTAAAATAATAATCATGCTCGCAGTAGGTGAGAGTTTTTGATTGAAAAGGAATAGAATTAAAAACATGACAGTTCACTGATATTTTTTATATTTGATGGGCCACTATCTCGCCTGGTGGTAAGTGATATTTTTTATTATACGTTACCGAAACGATGATGACTAGTATTAATTAACATACATAGTTAAAATAGTATGAGGTAATTGATCATCTATTATAATAAAATCAATTTCTTCTACAGCTATGAAAAGAGGTGAAATATCACCATGGATTATAAAACGAATGGTTGCACATACACCATCTATAAAATCTGGTATTTCATTGCAACATTTATTAAATAGAGAAAGCGGTTGTATAAGAGGTATTCTCAATTATTTAATGAAACTTTTATTTGACTTTACACACTGTTCTTATATTACCAATCACAAATCAATCATTCCTTGTTTTATGAACTACAAGTTAGCATTGTGGCTTTCGACAAACGATAAAAGCGTTGATTGTACTAAAGCTATTCTTGTTTAATCGTAAAAGGTTTTCTCTTAACATGACATTCCAATTTATTTACATGCGCAAATGAAGTGAGCAAATCTACGATGTAGCCAAATGGCAAGTATATAAAATTATATACTTGACATTTTAACGCCTTTTATTTATTCCAGCAAGGAAAAAAGCGCAGATTGCTATGAAAAAAGGTAGGGGTGTAGATAAATCAGGACATGAACCCTTTACGAAGACATCGAAAAGTACGCAGAAGTCACACATAAAAAATAATATGCATGCCAGTTCCAATCAGGGTTCGGCGAGTTCTTTGTCAACCTACGATCGACATGGAACTTTAAAACGGATGAGGGCACAGTCTTCGGTATTGAATAGCGGCATTCAATATACTAAAAAAGGTAGTCATATATATGAAAGAAATTATTGTAATGACGAATATTTTTAATCTATGCTTATTAAACTTGAAATTATTATTCCAGCAAAGAGCAAAGAAAGCGAAGCGTCACGTCGTACGGTTTTGAACAGAGACAAAAGTTCAGATTATTCAGGATGTGAATCTGCTTCAGAATTAAAGGATATATTATTGCCTTCGTGCAACAGTGATAGTAGTGATTGCAGTACGATTATAAAAGGTAAGCCGATATGTGTAGGTAAGAAATAATGATGGTTAAATGATACTTAGTACCTCTGATATTAAAGTATAATTATCTATTCTAGTGAAATGTGAAAAAGACTCCATGGATCGGTCATCGCACTCAATTATGAAAAAAGTCAATACTGATCATACACAACATGAATCAATATTAAAGAAAATAATAAGTATACCTGTTCTAGAGTCGGAAGCAGAATTAACTAGTATATGTCCTAAATGGAGTAGTAGCAATATGGTCCAAAAAAGTAAGCCAATCTTTAGAAAAGTAAGAGGAGAAGTTTAACGTTTGTATTTTAATGTCTAAGTCTAACTTTAAAATTTCAGCCAAAGGCACGGGAAGGTCATCGCACCCAATTTTGAGAAAAGTTAAAGACGCAGACCATACGGAATGTGGAACAATTTTGAAAAAGTCACAAAGTATACCTACCATTTCTCTAAAGTCGGAAGTAGAATTAAAGATTTTTAAATTTTACCTCAAGGATAGTCACTGTATTTTTTTATTTAATATTTCTCCTCTCTTGGTTTTTTTTCTGTATCGTGAGTGTATTTACACACAACTCACATACACACTACAGTCAGAAAGCCAATTGTTTAGCCACTGCACCCATCGTCTAAATGCAAAATTATGGTTAAAACAAGTAAAGCAAATTTAAAAAAAAATTAATGACAGATTTTATTAAATTTTAGCAAAGACAAAAGGCAAGGACCGGCGACCGACAGCGAACTCAATTTTGAAAAACATTAAAAGTACAAATCATTCAGGACAAAAATCCACTTCGAAGAAATTAAAATGTAGTCAATTTCAAAAGTCAGGAGCAAAGTCTAAGAATATTTCACCAACACATAGTAGATGCAACATGGTAAAAAAAGGTAAGGCAACTTTTAGAAAAGTAAAAAAAATATGTAGTTAAATATTTTTAATCCTTTACTTTACAATTTCAGACAGGCAACAGTCATCACGAACAGGCTTAAAAAAAGTCAAAAGCATAGACGGTGCAGAAAATGTAAGATGTAAATTGTGTCGAACATCAGAATTAGAATTCGGGGAGATTTTGCCTCTAGCAAGTTTCAGTCGCAGTACAATTATTAGAAAAGGTGAACTTAAATATGTTTTGAAAATAGTTAAATTATTGTCTGGGCCCTTTTTTGAGAACATTGAAAATTCTTCGTCTTCGTCACTCTATTCGCAGTACAATTCTGATAGTAATTCGATTTCTGTGGAGGTCACAGTTCCAACCTAATCTAATTTTAAAGTTACAAAAACCATACTATTGATCTGAATTTTATTTCAGCTAAGAAAAAACGACCAAAACATGTAATTTTGAAAAGAATTAATAGTGCAGATTTTGAAACCTGTTGTCATAATTTGAGATGTACACCATTTCATCGATCAGAAGTAGAATTAAAGACTGTATTACCACAAAGGAGTGCCAGTCGCAGTACAATAAAAATAAGTAAGCAAATTTAAATCTTAGAAATGCATGTAGGCTTAATATCTTTGGTATTAAATTACCCAGTATCCAAAGTAAATTACGAGACGCGTGCCAAGAGGCTCATCAATGATGATGCGCTTGTAGAGACCCGGCTTCAAAGCCTTGAACACAGGCGTAAGGTTGCAAGCCTTTCAATATTCTACCGGATACATTTCGGAGAGTATGCGGGGGATTGCACAAATTGATTCCCTCTAGCCCTTTCCATCATCGTACTATAAGACAATTGGCGAAGCATCACCGATTTATGGTAGATGTCCCACCCACACGCACCAAGCGCTTAGCATCAAGCTTCCTTGTGCGTACTGCTAAGGAATGGAATTCTTTGCCAGAGTCTGTATTTCCTAAAGGTCGCTTATGGGTCGACGTACTCCATCGCAGGCCACATCATCGCTTACCTACCACCAGGCGAGATATTGGTCAAACGTCAGCCCCATCTAAAATATATATATATATATATAAAAATATCGTTTTCCAGTGATAAAACCAAAGAATCCGAAACCACGTACAAGCTCCAGAAAGTTCAAAGGATCTAGACAAGAATCCATTATGAAGAAATTGAGAAGTATATCGTTTCTAAAGTCACTATCAGAATCACAAAACGTTTTACCTAAAAGGAGTTACGGTTTACATATAATTAAAAAACGTAAGCTAATGTTACGACAAGGGAACAGATAAAATAAATCATTAAAACCTCTAACAATGTTCATTTTCTAATTTAATACATTTCAGAGAAGAAAAGGGGCAGTCGGTCGGAATGTTCGTCACATACAGGTCTAAAAAAGACAAGACAAGCATCGTTTTTAAAGAAATTTATCTGCATGCCATTTCTGAAGCCAGAAGTAGAATTGAAGAACATTTTACCTAAAAGAAGTAACAAGAGCTGTAGAAGTAACAGTGACAGAATGTATAAAAAAAGTAAGCTAGTGTTTGGACACATAACATAACATCACGCCTTTTATCCCCGAAGGGATAGGCATTACGGCACTTCGTGCCACTGTACAATGTAACATCCATTTTTCATAATTTATTTTATAAGTCCCATGTAAGGTGAGCCTATACCGAACACATTTCTGCTACTACTTTTTTTTAAACCCAGAAATACTTTGCCCGTCTCGTTGGCAAACAGTCGTTCCAACTTTCATTGTAACCAACGAGGCAGTCAAGTGTTTAGAAAAGGTAAGTAAACTATAATGTAAAAAACTACGTTATTAACTTTGATTTTAAATTTCAGCTAAGAGAAAAAGCAATCTGCCAAAACATTCATCGCGAACAGTTTTAAATAAAGTCAGAAGTATAGATCATTCTAGACATATATCCCTTCTAAAGAAATTAAGAAGTATACCCTTTCTAAAGTCAGAAGTGGAATTAAAGAGTGTTTTACCTACAAGAAGTAACAGTCGTGGTACGATTAAATCAAGTAAGCTGAAGTTTGGAAATGGTAAGGCATTACAATATTAAAAAATTCAAGAGACCTCACGTGGTGACTCAAATGGCGTAGAGTAATAGCAACCTTGTAACTCACACTTCATACCTGATTGTAGTCAAGAGTCTGTCAAGATTTTTTTATATTTCGAATGTCACGTCAAAGTTGTTGTCTCCAAAACTTGTATTGTTGTGCCCGACAGGGTGTTTTTATGGGATCGAGAATCGAGCAGATGGTTCATCTGATTGCAAACAATCGGTGTCGCTCCTGGGCACCTGAAATACCAGGGGCATTACAAGTGCGCTACCGGCCTTTTCGGGATTAGGAATTTGAGGATTGTTGGGGATTTCACATTGCATCTTATTTATTTTTACGACCTAATTCTTACATATGGAAGGCAATAATGAATTGAGTATTGAGTAGACGCTGGTCACATTTCTACAACTTAGGTTAAAATATCTTTCAGGGAAGAGAAAGGGCTCGCGATCGCAACGATGCCCACGAAGAGTTTTAAAAAAATCAAAAAGTTTTCATCATACTAGACATGAATCCATTATAAAGAAGTTACGAAGTATATCTTTTCTAAAGTCAGAAGTAGAATTAAAGAATATTTTACCAACAAGAAGTAAAAACGGACATTTAAAAAGTAAGATAATAAGATAATTGGCTTCTTGTCAGTATTGAAATAAATACTTTAAAAAAGTAACCTCAGAAAACAATTCAAAATATTATAACTACTTACCATTCATTTTAGTTTCAGTAAAGAAAAAATGCAAGCAACATCCACCACGTACTGTTTTGAAAAAAGTTAGAAGTATAAATCGTGTAAAACATGAATCAATTTTGAAAAAAATGAGAAGCATACCGTTTTTACAATCAGAAGTAGAATTAAAGAACATTTTACCTACAGGGAATAATAATTGTAAAGGTGTCAAAGGTAGTGCAAAAAAAAATAAAACTTTTATTACTAGAAAGCAAGGACGTTGAAAAAAGCGAACATAATATGACTTAGAAATGATTAAAGCACCAAAATGTTAGTCGTGTATTTATGTGTACGTGTAATGTGTTACACCACGTTACAAGACTTAGAAAATGACAGATACCCTTCGTGTTAATGTGTGCGTATGTTCTGCGTCTAAGTCTACAGTAACCAGGTGCCACAGTCATTGTTGCAAGAGGCTGCCCGCCTTTTTCAACGTATTTGCTAGAAAGATTTAAATAATACAAAAAGTATTTAACATAATTTTAGGTAAACGAAAGTCAAAACGGACTTCATTATTTACTCCTCGTGTGGTAAGAAAGGTGAAAAGTCACCATTCATTATACAGACCACTGTTTGAGAAATTGAGAAGTATATCACACTTGAAATCAGAAAAAGAATTGAAAAATATTTTGCCTACTCGGAGCAGTAGTAGAATGTCTAGAAGGAAAATTCGGTTTGGACATGGTAAAGAATGATTTATTATCTACTTCAGATCATAATTGTTTTTGGGCATAACTGTTTATATTAAAACTTTCGTAAGACATACTTAATTAATTAATATATCGGCTTTACCACGTTACTGTTGGACAAGGAACTCGACTAGTTTCAAGCCATTCTAGAGCCTTATAGTCATGAGCAGCACAGTTACGTGAGTAAGCCGAAATCATAATAATTAATCGGGCATAATTCTTATCGACCCTTAAAAATTTTATAAACGAATATCCACAAATAAACATCGATCCAGAGATTTCGGATTAAGATCGGATGTGCTTTTACCTTTATTCCTATTGATCAAACAAAAATGAAAACATACCTACATACATATCATTCAAACGTATTTTCAGCTAAAAAGAAAGCGAAAAGACTAGATATAAAACTATCGACAAAAGGAAAACCTGCCGATTGTGGGAAATTAAAAATAAAGCCATTGATGACGTTAGACACAAAAATGCCAAGCTTAGCTCGTATGCCGAGTGGAAAGATCGAAGCTGCAAGTATATTACATGAAGGTAATTAAGTTGGTTCTACAAATTCGTGTAAGGGCACTGTCGCATGACGCCATGGCGATGTCGCCAGCTATTTATCTAAGCAGTTAATATTTAAATGTATAGTACATATTTCTGTGGGCGACGTTTTGGTGCCTTTGGTAACGTCGCCAATATAATGTACAATTTAACTATAAACTGCCCCTTCCTCACTGAGTCGTCAGTCACCTTTGCATATCAAAAGTAGCCTCTGTGCCACTGGCGACGACGACGTCACCATGGCATTTTAGTAAAGTATAATGCATAACTATTATTTTCGTATGTAATGTCTACTCAATAGATAAACAAATCTATTAGATTTAAAGAATATAATTGACTTTATGATTTAAGCTATGAAAAAACATCACCTGACTCCAGCTGATTTGGAAAATATGGATGATAAACATGCATTTAAAAAACTATGTAAAAGTAAATCAGTAATTGTGCATTTAAATAAGAATGAAATAGTTAACAAACTGTGTAGTGAGGCAGGCGAGGGTGATATCGTGTATGCTATTCGTAAAGGTAAGATTAAATCACCACAAGTACTTTTCCTAGTATAGATTGCCTAATTTAAAGGCGTTCTACTCAGGATGCTCAGAAATAAAAAATCGAACACCTGTCGATTCACAAACTTGTTTGAAAAGAGCATGCTAATTTTGAGCAACATTCCGATACACATGTTACTAAGTGACAACTGCTCAGTTGAAGCATGACTTCGTGCTTGAAGTTGGCATGTGTAAACAATACCTTAAGGTCATAAGACCATTAATTCTTTTTCTTCAATTATAAAGCTATAAGAAGAGGAGATGTTTCACCATCGCTTCTCGACATGGTGATAAATAATGAAGTACATCTTGGACTAAATGAACATAGACTTTCAGATTATTTAGGAAGTAAAAATCTCATCAAACCTATGTGCAAAAGGGAAATATTCTTTAAACTTAGAACTGATGAAGGTGTTGATAATATCACTAAGCGGGTTGCCGATGGTAAGAAAACATTTAACAATATATTTATTTTAAAGGATAATGATGTGTGTGATATAAAAGATGATATAAAAATCCAATAATATTTTAGCAATAAAAATGGGTAAAGTCTCACCATACCTCATTGAAATGATGTTAAATAAAGACAAAGAGATCAAGTTTTTGAAAAAGAAGGAAGCTCACCAAGTGGAGCCTATAACTAAAGAGCAAATCATTAGAAAGTTATGTTCAAGAGACGGTGAACTTTATATTATTAAAGAAGTTAGGAAGGGTAAGTACTTATATTGATTTATAGTAAATAATATTGTTAGTACTAAGATTAATATGATTTATTATTGTAGCCATAAGAAAAGGTCTAGTGCCACCATCAGTTATACAAAATATCATCGACAAAGAGTCATCTAAAACACTTTTTAAACGGTTATCAAGTAAAAAGTGTGAAACGATGAATAAATATGAAGTACTTAACAGACTTGGAACTAAAGATGGCGAATCTGAGATTATGAAACAAATTGATAAAGGTACATAATTGCAGTATACATAAAGGCGACATAAAATTAATTAAACAATATTTACTTGTATAATTTATTCAAGTAGGGTACTCGACTAGTTTCAGGAGACAGGCGAGACTCAGAATTACGAGTACCATACTCGCAACTTTTCTCGAATTAGTTACGTGGATAACAAATAACGTACTTATAAAGATGTTATTTTTTAGCCATCACATCAGGTCATTTATCACCGTCAGCATTGGAGTTGATGATAAATGGAGATGTAGACAGACATTGCGAAATAAAAAAGATAAAAAATAAAAGAGTTCTAGCTGGTCTTGATCCTGAGGTTGCAAAAGAAATGGAAAAAGGTATTCTAGATTTACACCTACTATAGTTTTTTAAAGCTGAGGAGCAGAGAGGTATTTATACCTATAGTAAACGTTTTTGTCACTATCCCTAACTACTCTCTCCATTGGTTTAGAACCGTAAGTTTAGAACTCCGTGAGAACCGACAATGGGGCTACATTTTAGAGAGCGAGACCGCTAGGACAGCAGCGCTCTTTGATCAATCAAAACTTTTTAAACTGAGAATCCCATCCCGCTCCTCAAGCGTGGAGATTATGGCAAATACTCTTATGTAGAAAATTCATAAACCAGCAATCAAGGCGATCAATGTTTATGAAGTTAAGACGAATAAAAACAACTGTTTAGTCACGTAAATTTACTGAGAACAGCTTTACTAGTTTCGAGTCACAGAGGGACTCTTACTCTGATGCACCGACGTCATGCAGCCTTATTAGTAGAGCTTGTCTCAGTATATGACGTGAGTGATTACTTGATTAGCTATTTTTAGTTAATACAGTATGACTCACGATAATTATTGTATAAGTTAATCACTGGTATGTAAGTATACCTAGTATTGATATGCTTATTGCAGCTATAAAGAAGGGAGAAATTACAAAGTCACTAGCAAATATCATTAAAAATAAAGCGAAGACGTGTCGAAAAGTAAACAAAAGTCAGGAACATGTCATTGATAAACGTGCGAGAAAGTGTGATAACATCCACGAACTTGGTAAAGGTAATTTTCCACAATAATAGGGAAATGAGTGATTTTTCAGACTTTAGTTTCGAAAATAAACTTACAGTTGAGTATTTTAGTTAAAAATGATCGCAATTTCATTAATCTGTTTCTAATAAATCTGTTTTTACAGTATAGAACATTTATGTGTCTTTTTTTTAAAGAAGTATAGATTCTATATTACGCCTTACGTCACATAGGTATATGGTTTTTAACATGGTCAACCCTAAAATTAAATAATTGTATTTCAGTGAAGTCCAAAAGCACTACACCAATAAAATTAAGATCAAAATCTGAACAGCTTGACACAAAATCTCTTTTGCCACAAATCATACCAAAAATCATATGCATGTGCAAAAAATTACAAACAAAAAATGAAAAAGGTAATGTTTCAATGTATTTTAGTACCAGCCAGTCTCAATAATCTATTTTTTTTATGGTATAAGCCGGTAAACGAGCAATGACCTGATGGTAAGCAATCGGCGCCGCCCATGAACACCTATTAATAGCTGTAGCCAAATGCCATTTAGTGCTTGTCTACATGTAGAATAGAAAACCAAATTATATGGACTTGACGTAAATTTTGACACTTGTCAGTGTCAAATTCAAATTCAAATCGTTTATTGCGAATATAGGTCAAGTGTTGATGTTACAGTAGTTATTGTAAAATAATTTGATCATCTACATTCTGCCATTTAGCATGCAATACTTATTGTGAAAATTACAAATACAATGTCATCCCCATACATTTAGTTTTGTACTCTCTCTGTAGATAAGCGCTAGAGTGGCGTTTGGCTAAAGGCCCAGGAACACTAGAGGAGTTAGATAATTAGGCCTCCGGTGACCTTACTCACACGGCAAAACACAATGCAAGCGTTGTTTCCAGTCGGTCGTCTGTGAGGCCGTGGACTCCGGTCCGGCCCGCCCATTCGTACCGTAGCTCTACCACACTTAATTATTCTAATGATAGTCTTACAATAAGATAATCTGAGAGTCTAGTACTAGCTGGTTTTACTTTTATCAAGATCGAAATGTTACCATGCTTAACCCTCTGATTGATTGGTTCAATGAAGTAAGTCAATCAGAACGCCGAACGCAGTAACGTTTCTAAAACAAACTCATACTAAGCCCTCTGTATCTTTAATAAGCCTTACTGATATCATAACAGATAATGCACTTTCAACTCTATTATTTTGGGTACTTAAAACTCAAATTGTATTACAAGATTCTTAATTGTTGTACGCATATTTTCTCAAAAGTAAGGTTATAATTAACTTTTCAGGTATAAATATGAATGTGCAAGCACGAGATAAGCGCAAGCTGAAGCATGAAGCGTCATTAGCCAAGTTATCCGAAAAACATAAAAAAAGTAAGTAAATGATTTTTTAATACCTTCAGAAAGGTTTTCAATCCAACCCATGTCTCTGCAAAGATAAAGAAATATTTTTAGGTGTTTTTTTTTTCTTTTAATATACTCAAATACTTTGCTAAGCTCGATGCACAAAAAAAAACAATTAAAAAAAAAATACCATTCAATATCCATTTTAAAATATTGTTTTGATTATTTATAATCTGTGCCATAAGCTTGGAAAAAGAAAAAGTGAAAATTAATATTCTCCAAAAAGTTTTGTTACCTGACCAGTACCTACATGTTAAAACACTGGCTGGAAACAAAGAATGCGCAAAAATTTTCCAGCGCATTAATTATTATTTACATCTGTAAAAAAGAAAACATAAAAAGCTATCGAATTTTTTATTAATTTAGCCAAACTGATAAATTACATTGGAAAAGTATCCAGATTAAGTAGTTAAGCGTTTAGGAAATCTAGGTATTTAGCTACACAAATTCTATTATAGAATCCTTTTTTTTATATGTAGATAAATATACGCATAATTTTTAAAAACAAGGTTAATCAACTAACTTGATTTTTCAGGACTAGATATACATATACAAGCACGAGAAGCACGCAGAGAACGCAGACGAAAGCATAAAGCATCATTAGTCAATTTAGCCGAGCAACGTAAACAAAGTAAGTAAATAAGATATTTTTTATTATTTTCAGATAAGTTTTCTATCTAATCGTCTTTGTAAAGGTAAAAGAAAATTCGTCATAAAATTTTCTCCACGTGACCGATACAAAAAATTATTTTTATTAATTTAATAATAAGTAATAGGGTACTAAATATTCCGTCTATAAGTATGGCTAAACAAAATGTAAATGTATAATTCTCGAAAAAGTTTTGATACCTAGCAAGTTAAAATATTGGCTGGAAATAAAGACTGCGCGGGAAAATGTAAAAAAAAAAAAACATAATAAAAAGTTTATCGAAGTTTTTGTTATTTTCGCCAAGTTAATAAATGGTATTGTGATAATATTCATATTAAATCGTGGTTAAACAATTATAATTCGGTTAGTTAACGTTACAGGGCAACCCTTTTTGAAGGTAACGTTTTTATTTTTTAGATACATGTTTGTAATGCGTTAATGTAAAAATTGAAATGTTACTCAATTTTAAAGTGTACTTAAACACCACGCTATCTCAGACATAATTATTATAAACTAGGTACTTAAATAAATACTAAAAAATATATTATGCTCCAAATGTATTGTAGTAAGAGAAATATTTAGAGAGCATCTTAATATTTATAATGAGCAACGCGGCGCTTAAGGTTAAACTAGTCGCGGGCTCGAACTCAATCAAGGGCGTGGCCAAAAAGCGCGCTGTCTCATCTAACATCGTGTGTGACAGAGATAGTACCAGTGATGAGCAGTTAGACGCTATCTATTTGCACGACGTATTGTTCGCACGCACACAAACACAGCAAAACGTCACTGAACGGTGCATATATCTGTGCTGTGTGTGTTTACTCGTAGTAAAGTCGTACACGCTGCTACGATTTTATGATGCTCGCATGAATTTAATAATTATTGTCACAGGGCATTGTAATTACTGACAATTTTTTTATGATATCAACTTATCATCCGATCCGAAGAATCCACGAAAGGCTAGGGATATAATTTTATATAATATTTTTTTTTCTAAGTACCAATAACTTTATGTACCTACTACAAACTAGCTAGATGCATCTTTTATCTAAATAATACAGTTCAAATGTCATATTTTCATCAGGTTATAATGTTTAACTAATATTATAGTTTGTTTGGTTGAACATAATAATCTCAGGAACTACCTACCTATTTAGGTAGGTACTTACTGGTCTGAATTATTTCCTGAATTTCGAGACAATTGATCTGTCATTATGTTTTCATAAAATTAAATATATACTTACCTAGTTAGGTACGTCGGTGACTACCTAAGATTACTAGAAGTAGTGATAATACCACATAATTAGATTTTCGTCATTTCGTCCGTAACAAAACTTGTGGACTTCATACCTACATCGTGTAGGTAGGTCCCTAACTCCAACTTCGTGTTAGGTACCTACAGACTTTTTGGCAGCTCGGAACGTAACATAAAGCTGCGCACTAGGTACCTCCCTGACACAAACATAAGTAGAGATACCGGCTCGAATCTTGAGCGCTCGGCATCAAAGTGGGTAGGTATACATTGGCGAGCTAATCACTGTAAAAGGATTTTTGGGAGAAGAATTGTAGGTAGCAACAATCCTTCTCACAATACCTACTACTAAAGAGACTTGATTTCTGCGCAATCTGAGTCAACGCTCAATATTCATGCCGGTATAGTATCTGTATTAGCAGCACAGGAGAGCGCCGCAAGGCTGGGTATAATTGCTAAGGGTTCACCCTTTTAGTTACTTACTTATTTATTATGCTTTTATTTATAGACAAAAAAAAACAATGAACCTGAAAAATCTTTATTGGTAATCGTAATATTTATTTAACGTAATTATTGACATTGACTTAAAATCTATCTCTAAATGGTAATTTACGAGGGTAACGCGGATCTATCAGCTCCGGCAAAACACATTGGTGGTAAAATATATCTAATTTAGAAATTTTGTCTGGCGTCCAAAACTCATCATCTCTTTCAATTATATCTATTTCGATGCCATTTGGCGTCCAAACAACAAAATAACAAAACTTTCTTTTAGTTACCATCAGTTGGCCTTGTACCTGATAATAATAATTATGCGTTTTTTTCAACTGGATTCCATCAGCAGTTTCTACACAAAATTTAATTTAAACCGATAACTGTATCTAATAAAATCTAATTAGATAAGGTATAATAAATTGTAGGGACGACTTACCCATTGTTTATTATGTATTTTCCAATGACACTTGGAAATTCCAAGTGTCATGCAATCAACCAAAACAACTTCACTAAATCACGACAATTGCACGACAGCGCGTGTCGTGCAAATAATAATTGTGCAAAAAATTGTGCAAAAACGCGTGTGCGTCTTCCCTCCGCCCCGCGCCACTGCCGGGGGAGTTTTATCCAGTGAAATGCACGATAATCCATCACAAAACGAGTGCGTAAAAAAGTACGATTTAGTGCTTTAGAAAATAGCGTTTTTTGAAAAAACCACTGCTTAGATCAATTTCAAATAAATTTTATAGAACTTTATGGTAATTGTGCTGAGTCGGTACGGTCTTCGGTTTGGAGATTTTACACGATTAGTGGTATTTTTTAACACCCAAAGTTGCGTTAAAATTGTAAAGAAAAACAAAACTTTGTTGGCTCATAACTTTTTAGTAGTTTTTTTTTTATTTTTTTTGTTTCCGTACCGACAAATGTAATTACAAGATAAAACGATATCGTGTTTAATTTTGTAGGTACACATTCACACTGTCGAGTAATACCACCCCGAACTTTCTATGGAAAAGATATCGACTAGTGTAACCTTAAATATTGAAACATAGGATTAAAAAGTAATCAAAAATTTGTATATTTAATGTGATGGATATATGTTGTGCAGTGCAGTAATGTTATATAATGTAATTCGATTATTACGTTACAGACAAACTTATGGAAGAAGAACTATGGTCAGCATTGTCAAAGTTGCTAGAAGAAAATAAACATCTAATGGAAAGAACCAGTCAAAGTGAAACTAAATCGACTACAACGTCAACGAAATCTTTTAAATGTAAGTTATATGTATAAGTACCTACATACATACATAACGTCACGCTTTTTTATTTGCTAGGGTAGCGGTGTACAATACAATACCCACTTCTCACTAATTAACTCGTCGAGTACCGGTTTTGTAGACACAATTATAGAACAATAGGTTGCGGTCACCGGTGACCGCTTGGTGTTTGACAGTTTAAGGACTGTTTTACAATGTCTGGATAACCACTATGTACCATATAAAGAATTAAAAACGTAATTTGTGTGTCCATCACATAAGTTTATTTTGGTACTTATGTGAAGGTTGAAACAGGCACTTTTTTAAGGGGATGATAATCATGACTGCTCCCGCCTGGGTGAGGCGGGAGGGAGTGTCAGACTCTTACTGATTAAAAACCACCCCGTTCGTACTCCTTCATTTCGAGCCGGAGCCCCGGTAACCCGTTAGGTTCTCCGCGACTCCGTATCGGCATCAGCCCTATTGGGCCACATCCGTGGTGGTCTGATGGCTCATTGAGGCGCGTGCGGAACGCGACGCGCCGTACGCTCAGGTCTGAAACAGGCACTAAGAATCCCGTGTTACGTAGCGTTTCGCTAACCGCTCTGCGATAATCAGCCATCAAGTTTGCGGGCAATAATCGCTATTCGGCTGCGTAACCGCAGAAAACTGCGATCTCGTAAATTTTGAAAATAAAACTATATTCCGCCACCGCGGCGGGTGCGCGTGAAATTCACTTTGTGATTCCTTAGCCTTGGTCTACCAACACCGGACTTCATTCTTTTGAATGTTGACAATATAATATGTGGGAGGATTTTTTTGTAATGTCAACTAGACATAATAATATCTACGATACGTACCTTACATAGCAACTTTTTTAATGGGATCCACGTAACGGTAAGCGCAAGGCAACTACATTCAAGGTGGATAGACGACCCAATTGAGGTCGTAGTTACCCATTGGATGCAGATCGCTTCCAACCGGCCTATAAGTCATTGACGGAAGCCTATGTTCAGCAGTGGTATAGCTGATATGATTGTAATATTTTTTCAGTCACACGTGGAAGAAGATCACGCGGACCTGTTGCGAGAATGCCAAACGAGAAAGATGTGGAAACTAAACGTGCAAGCAATGCCACTATTCGATCAGCAGTGAAGAAAGTTCGAATATGTAAGTCATTTATTGGAAATTTCTACCATAGCGTCAAGCATTTTGCTCCCCAATTGGGTAGACAGAGGATAACATTTTATTGTAACCCGGAATTTCCGCCTTTGCATTCTTTGACTGGATTTTGTTGTCACACAATTGAACCAACAAAACTATGTAACTAGAAAATTAATTATTTAGTCTTCAATGTACACAATTTAATTATGGCACATAAGGCGAACTTAATGCCATATGCCAAATGGCATTAAGTTCGCCTTACGTGCCATAGCATGACAGTCAACCTTAAAAATTGCATTATGAACCTGATTGAAAAAGAGTAAGCTATGGAGTTTCTTGCTCGTTCTTCTCCATAGGAATCTATATCTATACCTTGGAATGAGCAAATAGCTTCACTTAATTGTTTTTTTGATGTTCAAAAGTTCTCCGACTCTAGTTGAAATAAATGATTTTAACTTTGGCCACCAGTTACAAATTACGATTGGTATCTATATAAGTTATGTAGGTACGTAATATATGTCATATAATTATTATGTCATTCGTGTTTATAATGTTGCTTATATTTTAGCATTAGGAAAACGGCTATCATCACCTTCCATTGATATACTTTCGAGCGGACGACAAAGTGCAAGAAAACCTTGTAAGTGATATATTATTATAACCTTCAATAATAATTTAATATGTGATAAACGTACCGATACTTATCTTCTGACAGAATTTGGGATATTTGACGACTGTATCAAATTTCATCAGAATCCATTCAGTAGGTATCTACTTAAGTCTCCATTATTGTGACAATCTGTTTGACTGATACAGCTACTACGGCCTTCTCCGGGATTATGACTAAAGTTGTACCGAATACCACTCAAATAGTAGTCGTCCGATGTGGAGGATTAAAGAGGGAGCATTTATTCAGTAGTGGCCGACTTCAGACGTGGTGATTTGAATTTTATTTCTTAGTCAAAATTATTGATGCTAAAATTTAGTTACGACAAGGACAATATACACAGTTAGTTGAACAGTTAATTAATTAATAAAAACGCCTATTTGTTTGATTAATTTCAGGCATGTCAACCGGACAGTTATTGCAACCGAAAATTGAGAGAAAAAGAAATGAAAGCTTGCAACTCAGAGACATGGAAGTTGTGAGAAAAAAGATGTGTAAATGTATGTTACAATTTATTATACAATGAGGCCTACCTATTGTTTCTTCCCAGACGACACTAGTTTTTTTTTTTTCTTTTAAAAAAATATTGCCCCACACTAGAATTTTCTCTTGTGTCCTGGTTGACAAACATACAAGTTCACAAACGCATCACACCCAGACCTGGAACAACAATCTGTGGATCACACAAAGAGTTATTCCGTGCGGGTATCGGACCCGCGACTCGTTGCGCGGAAGCCAGTTTAAAACTTTCGTCTTCTTCGTCCAATAGGGAATTAGCTAGTGCCACATCATTGGACGTTGAAGATTTGACAGCTGTTGTGACTGGACAAAAATCTCTTCCTGCATTTGCGTCATATAGTGATTAAAAAAACGTTGGCCCCCATTGTAGCACAAGGGAAATTCAGAAATGTATATTTAGAAATTTTAATGTAACTTTCAATTTCAATAAATAATTTACACAGTGTGATTTGTAATTAGACCGCAATCTCATGCACATTAATTCCATTTTTTTTTGTCGAACAAAATATTATTTTGGAATTGGACGGTTATTAAAACATTTAACTTTTAGTGTTACATTCAAAATGACGCCCGCGGCAACACTAAAATTAAAAAAAAAACAAGAAAGATGCGCACTTGTACTAATTTTCTTTTTTTATTATCTTATTTTACTAATCTATTTACTAGTTCTAATTGGTTCAACAAAAATGTTGGAAATGATGTGTTCTATAACCCTATACGAGACTGTGGTCTAATTACTAATCACCCTATCTATCTATCTATGCCTTAAAGTGGAAATCCTAAACGTTACGTATAGTTTGAATTTCAATACTGTTTCAGCGGTAAAAACTGGAAGGGCATCACCGTCACTAATAACAATGATGAGTAGAAAGGATATGGGCGACGTTGCGCACACTAGCAACTATAAGACACAAGTTATAAGCAACATTTTAAATGGTAAGATGACTGAGCAGTAAATACACGCCTATCATTAATGTTACCGGGGTCGTGCGGTCCATGGCCCTCTACGGCGCCCCTGTTTGGGCGCCGAACTTGTTGCGGCGTCCTGCTCGGACGCTGCTCATGGCACAGAGGGTCATGGCGATCCGAATGATCCGCGGATACCACACGATCTCTGGGGAGTCGGCGAACCTCCTTGCCGGATTACCGCCGTGGGATCTGGAGGCGAAGGTGCTCGCGCGCGTGTATAACATGCGCGCGGAGGCACGTCGCCGGGGCGAAACTCCGCTGCCGCGCCAAATAAGAGCGTGGCGGGATGAGCTCCGGCGCGATCTCATGGCGGAATGGCAGCATCGACTGTCGCAACCGAGGGCTGGGCTCGCTGCCATCGCAGCGGTAAGTCCCCTCTTTGAGGAGTGGCTTGAGAGACGCTACGGCGTCCTCACCTACCGCCTGACGCAGGTCCTCACCGGACATGGAAGTTTCGGGAGGTACCTGTGTCTGATGGGGCGGGAGGAAACGCCCGGGTGTCATCACTGCGAGGACCGCCCTGAGGACACGGTGGAACACACGGTGGGAGAATGCCCTTCGTGGGCTGAGCACCGCCGTGTCCTCAGGGAAGTGATCGGCGATGGCGACCTCTCGCGTCCGGGCCTAGTGCAGGCCATGATGCGGAGCGAGGGGGATTGGGATGCCGTCTCCTCCTTTTGCGAAGCAGTCATGCTAGCTAAGGAGGAGGCGGGACGCGTGAGGCAGCGAAGCGCTGCCTCCTCGCAACCCAGCCATCGCGAAGGACACACCGGGCGTCGGGGATCGCGGGACGATCTCCGGCCACCGTAAGCGCGGGCCTGCGGACGGCGAGCATGGGTGGCTCCCCGTCCGACCAGAAACAGACCCGAGCGTACGGCGCGTCGCGTTCCGCGCGCGCCTCAAAGAGCCATCAGACCACCACAGATGGGGCCCAATAGGGCCGATGCCGATTCGGAGTCGCGGAGAACCTAACGGGTAACCGGGGCTCCGGCTCGACGTGCAGGAGAAGGAACGGGGTGGTTTTTAGTCAGTAAGAGTCTGACACTCCCTTCCGCCTCACCCAGGCGGGAGCAGTCATTCGATGATTTTCCCCCCTTAAAAAAAAAAAAAAATCATTAATGTTAACCCGATGTACGGCGCGTCGCGTACCGCGCGCGCCTGAAAGAGCCATCAGACCACCACAGATGGGGCCCAATAGGGCTGTTGCCGATTCGGAGTCGCGGATAACCTAACGGGTAACCGGGGCTCCGGCTCGACGTACAGGGAAAGGAACGGGGGTGGTTTTTAGTCAGTAAGAGTCTGACACTCCCTGCCGCCTCACCCAGGCGGGAGCAGTCATTCGATGAATTTCCCCCCTTTAAAAAAAAATTATTAATGTTAACTTACATAATATTATACATACAATTATAAATATACATAATGATAATTATAACCTACGTATGATTTATCGGCTATGAATTGAATTGAACTTTCAGCCATTAAAAGAGGATCTATATCGCCAGCAATTTTGTACGACGTTCTCTACAATGTTAAACCATCGGATACCAAATCCCAAGTTATTGAAAAGGTGCTTAATGGTAAGAAAAAATTAAAACGTAATTATGTTAAATATTTTTGTGGTCTTAGTTCATCATCATCATCGTGTATGCCTAAGTTTCGTCATCTTTACGTGCATAGCTATTAACTTGCAGTTAAGTAAGTTATTTTGATTTTTGAAAGTCTTTGTGCTTGTATTTATTTCAGCGATTGCTAAAAGACACGTGACACCAACCAATATGCAAACTGTAATGACAGAAGTGTATGGATGTGATAGTAAAACTCCAATACTAAACCCAGTTCGTGATGGTATATATTTGAAGTTCTTAAGCTGAAATTGCGTTAAGCGGACGGTCATCCGTCGCGAGTTTACGTAGATCACTTTTGTATGGAACGCACGCAGGAGTCCGTGTAACGCAGTTTCCACCCTTATATTTCATTTTATGATGTCAAGTGTCACCTTATATTTGTTTTATACTAGATTCTGCCCGCGACTTCGTACGCGCAATCCCGTTTTCTCCGGTTCCCGTAGGATTTTATGTAATTTTTCTGTCATAAGAACCTTCTCCTGCCAATAATAAACACAATAAAAAAGAAATCAGTCAAATCGGTCTAGCCGTTCTCAAGTTATGGCGTGACAACGGGAAACGGGTTTCATTTTTATATGCCAGTTGGGATTCAACCCCCAGTTTTTGCTCCACGAAATAGTTTAAACATTTATAATATAGATTATATAATATATATATTAACTACCTTATATTATAAGACTTATATTTAATAATGTATGATTCTCTTTATAGCTGTTAAAAAGGAAAAAATACCAGTTGATGTCTTACGTCAAGTATTGGATAGTGTAGAACCAAATGAGGATCGATGTAAAATTGTCGCAAAAATCCGTAAAGGTAAGTTGTGATTAATTATTTAACTACATTTTTGGAAAGAACGAAAAAAAAAAGGTATTTTTTATTTACCTTTTTTAATTTTTCTGTTAAATGTTAGGGTTCTCTCCTGTGTCATGGGTGCATTTATAATCATACAATTCCACATGCACATGAGACACTCACCCGGAACAACGGTTGTGGATCACACAAAGAGTTACTCCGTGTGGGTATCGAACCCAATACACGTTGCGTGACAATCGATTGCATCCACCGCGCCAATCGTGCAGTCGATTAATTTGCCGCATCACATAAACGAACACTCCCACACCCCTATCCCAGACGGGAGAATCATTCGATGATTTTCCCCCCTTAAAATCACATAAACGAAGAAGCACAGTATATTAATTTATTATTACAGCTTTAGAGAAATCCCTTTTATCTCAAAACGTGATAGATGAACTGCTTTTTGAAAAACCTGATGAAGAATTAATTCCAAGAAAGCCTGAAAAACTGAAGAGCATTCTTAAAGGTAAGTAATGAAAGCACATGACAAAATGCCGTTATTTCGAATCCTAACCACAAAAAATATTAAATAGATGCAGATTTTAAATAGATAAATATGTGTAGATTTACTCACATGACATTTTTTTAGAAAACCTCAACTAACTAGTTTCGATCTACATCGGAACTCATATTCAGAAGCTGCGTGCGCGGCGTGCGACGTCGGCCAATCTTGTCTGTCTGCCAATGTCTTGATCTTATTTATTTATTATGAATTCAATATTTTAATTATATAGACTGGAGGTAGGTACCTTTTTTTTGATGACGGGGGGGAAACCGCAGCGCAAGGCGCTAGACTAAGGAGTGTGGGATTCGTATCTCACTAAAACCAACCCGGTGGCCACCCTCAGCACCTGTAAGAGGCACCGGGTCCTCTAAAGAGACTGGAGGTACCTAGATAAAATCTGAGAGACTAGGGCACTAAATTGATGATTGAATAAATTTCAGTTTCATCACATTCTGAAACGACGTCACATAAAATTAGCGCATCTAAAACACAAATAACTGAAGATTCTACTGAAGACATTGTGAAGAAAGTTCATAAAGGTACATAGTTCTGTCTTTTATCATAAGTCTATACACAAAATTTATCCAATAATATTGAACACTAGCGATTCATTTTGCTCAAGTACGTTATCCTTTATTTTCCGGGTAAATATGTAAACCTTTATTTTATAGTTTAGTTCTTTCATTCGTTCGAAATTCATATTTATTTCAGCTGTAGCAGAAGGAAATTTATCTCCAGCTGTTTTAAATGATCTTAAAAAAATACAACCTAAAGATAAAAAGACACAAGTTCTTAAAAAAGTTCGGAAAGGTAAGCCTTTTACCAAGATACAATAATTCGTGGTCTGCGCTTGTAATATATATTTGTAGCAGTAATTGTTGTTTTGAATATAAATGACATAATTTTGTATCACACGTCAAAATAACGTAACATCGCGCCTTTTATCCCTGAAGGTGTAGGCAGAGATGCACATTACGGCACTTAATGCCACTGTACAATGTAACACCCACTTTTCACTATTTTATGTTATGAGTTCGATGTAATAGGGGGTGAGCCTAGTGCCATATACCGGGCACAATTCCAGACTACACGCTACCACTGAGTTTTTTTTAAAATCCAACTCGAGATCCCTTGCCAGACAGTCGCACTTGCGTCGACGTCAAAATAAGAATTCTTATTAATAATGTATTTTTAATTTAAATACTATTTTTTTAGTACGGTATTTAATTTCAGCCATAGCGAAGTACCACGTAACGCCATCTGCCAGGGATCAAATATTATATAGCATAAATGAAAAGGATGATAAAGCTAAAATGCTGAAGAAAGTTCGTAAAGGTATATTAAACTGTAAATATATGCACTTTTTTTATTTGCAATGGGCCGGTGGTTTTGGTCACTATTTGACCTGGTAATAAGCGATGATACGGCCTACAATTTATGTATTTTTTAATATTTTAGCCGCTGAAAAAGGCGAAATTCCCATCTATAGTCTAAGTGTCATATTAGACAGTTTGCGGCCGAATGATAGCAGAGCTGAAGTAATGGAGAAGATTAAAAAAGGTAGGACTTCTGATTGACTTTACTATTATCTTCTGTTAATTTTACCTGATGCCTGATGGGAATAGTGTGAATAGTGCCATAGAAGAAAACAGGGTTTATTCAAGTCCCATTTTTAACAGACAAAACTATACTCAAACTTGACACACGGCTCTTTTCACCTGACACGGACAAAGAATATTAAAGACTGCATGGTTGGCGCTAGGGATTGCAATCCCGCAAAACGGGATCCAGCATTCACGCGGGATCCCGCACCACTTATTAATGTTGTGGATCCCGCAGATTTAAAACGCGGATCCGCGGATGGCGCTAATTAAAATTTTTCGCTAAAACGTTCTAGTAGTTTCGCGTAAGAAAGCGAGTAGTGCGAGTGCGACGTTGACAATAAACAAACCAATCCACAATAAGCCAGACAAGACAATAAGCAAAAGGATTATGAAAAAATTTTGAAGAAAGAAATGGCATGTTTCGAGTCCGATGGTATCAGAGGAGAGTACCTGACGCTCGCCTATGAATATATCATGACTGTTTAGCCTACTAGCGTTGAAGCCGAGAGAGCGTTTTCGGCATCAGGATATATTTTAGTTCACTTAGAAGCTAGAAGCAGGCTTGGAGATAGTACTATAAATGCCATTTGCTTTTTAAGAGCGTATTTTCAAAAGTCACAGTCATAATAGTACCTTAGTAAATTTAGTTATTTGGATAAGAGAAAGTTGTGATTTGACTGATTAGAAGTTATTGTTTTTGTTGTTGTTGATTACTTTTTGTGATTTCTTTATTCATTATTATGAATAAGACAAAATAGTACAAAACTATTGTTAGATATAAGGGCATAATGGTATAATTAAACAAAACTTTGATGCCAAACATTTAAAATTAGTAAGACTGATTACTAAATTACTCGTACTTAATTTAATAATTTAATTGTTATTTTGTTCTTAAACAAACAATTTTTGTTGCATAATGTGAGGCATGTTTGATTTCTCCTAATAAATGTTGATTATTTAAATAAATCTCTGTAGTTTCAATTCGATTTTATAACATTTTAAAGATGCGTGATCCCGCGGGATCTTGCGCGGGATTGATCGATCCCGCATATCAATCCCGCGGGATTGAATGTGCTGCGGGATTGCAATCCCTAGTTGGCGCAATGGTTGGGTGTGTCGCGGGTTCGAACCCCAAGCCAGCCAAAAAGTGGCATTCTCTGAGTAAAAATACCATTATCCCGGGGTCAAAAAGTTCAGGATAGTTTCAACCCCGTGCCTCGAAAAGCACGTAAAGCCGCTGGTCCTGCGCCTGATCTCTACCCGGTGGGACAGCAGACCGTTGCTGTCACATCACTATAATATCTGCCATGCCCACAGGCATAATTTTGAACTGTATTCTATTAAGTACTGACAATTTGGAAAATCGAAAGATCCTATACATTTTTTGAGAGGAGTAAATCATTCAATGACCTCTCCTGCCTTAAATGAGGATGTAAGGATTGTCAGACACTTATTGACTAAAATCCTTGTTGCTACTCCTGCCTTGACCCGGAGCCCCTTTAACCTGCTAGGTCGTCTGCAGCTCCGGAACTTACTTTGACTAATGAATCAAATTCTCGACAATCCCGCTTGCGACCATTCGTCACAAAATATTTTATTATGTCACGCATATTTCTGTCTGCTTCTCTTGTAATTTTAGCATTAGAAAAAAAGATGGTACCAACACATGTAATGGAGGACATCTTCGGCAAACAACCGCAGCCTGGTGAAAATATTCTAATTATGATGAATAATGTTCGTGAAGGTATGTTTGTGAAATTAATTTAGCAATTTAATAATATCTAAAGAGAATTACTTAAACACCATGCTTAGAAGCTCAACACAAAGTCTGAAGGGAAAAGAGTTATAAGAAAAATGGTTTGACCAGAAAATCTCAGTCAAAACAAATAGAGCAGACTTTATATAAGACAAGTTTAGCATAATAGGTTCTATATAATCTAAGTTATTCCCCCTTTCAGGCTTGACATTAACCTTCCAAATATCCTGTATGCATTTTAAACACCTATAATTTCAGCCGTGAAAAATGGAGTATTACCGATCGCTGTCATGAATGAGATTTTCTCCAAAGTTAGTCCGAACGAAAAAGAAGCTCAAGTTATTAAAAAAATTCGTAAAGGCGAGTATAAAGTTTTAGAAATAACTATTGTGCTAAAAATTTTTAGCTACATAAAATGTAGGTAGGATTCTGTAATTCATATCTAATAATTAATTTAATTAAGTCAATTTTTATATTAAAACTTTTATGAGACATAATAAACTATTATGTTTAGGCATACCTACTGACGTAACTGATCGAGTTCTTCATCAAACAGTTACGTGAGTAGATAAGCCAAAAACATAATAATTAATTTAGTTTTTTTTTATTATTTTGTTATGCTTATAAATTTTAATATAGCTCTTTGTTACAGCGGGCGCAAAAGGACGCGTTAAAAAGCAAGTTATAGATGATATCTTGAAAGTAGAGAAGATAAAGGACAGTAAATCAAATCTTTTATTGAACGTCAAAACAGGTAAAGATATACATACAGATACATACATGTTCCTAACATAATTTTCAATTACCTTTCACTAGAATTTTCTCCAGTGTCGTAGGAGCAGTGGCGTAGTTTTATAATGTCTATTAACATTTGTTTTATAGCAATAAGTAAGGGAGAGCTTTCACCCGCTGTTATGGACGATATCCTCGCTAATGTAAAACCTAGTGATAATAAAGATGAAGTCAAAATGAAAATTTGGAAAGGTAATTTGCTAATTCAAAATTTTCAATATACATACCATCCGCCTATTATTCCCGAAAAGGTAGGCAGTGGTGCACATTACAGCACTTAATTCCACTGTACAATATAACAACCCCATTTCACTATTTATGTTATGAGATGTGTGAGCCTATTGCCATATACCGGGAACAATTCTAGACTCCGTGTTACTACTGAGGGGTTTTATAAACCCAGTAATACTTTGCCCACCCCAAGAACCGAACCCGGGCAGTCGCACTTGCGACCCCTAGGCCAACGAGGCAAATTTCAATATGTATTGACAAAGTAATGTAGTGATAAATGTAATTAGAATTGAAAAATACGAATGTCTAATCTATATAGAGGTAAATAAAAATGAAACCCGTTTCCCGTTGACACGCCATAACTGGAGAATGGTTGGACCGATTTGGCAGATTTTTTTTGTTGTGTTTGTTATCGTCAGGAGAAGGTTCTTATGACAGAAAAAAGTCCTGAAAATCTTACGAGAATGGGAGAAACGGGATTGCGCGAACGAAGTTGCGGGCACAAGCTAGTGTCTAATAATAAGTGAATGGTAACGCCAAGACAAAGACTGACTCAGAAAACCAGGAAAGAATATGACAGAGTTGCCACAAAACGAAATTCATGTCGAAGTTGTTACTCATTAAATCATTTCCATTCCTACAAAATGTTATAATTTAAGCTATATTGAGAATAATCTGCTAATTTCAGCAATTGCAAAGGAACATATCACTTCAACGGTCCTCGTTGAAGTTTTTGCTAAAGTACAAGATAGCGAGAACAAATCTGAAATAATAAAAAACATTAGTAATGGTAAATATTCCTCTTATTGTTTTATCGTCTTCGATTGGATGCTACTACTAAATAAAGGACTCCTCAATCTCTACAATCCTCAAATTCCTGATCTCCATAACCCATTTGTTACTCATCTGATGTTGTGGAAGTCTATGGGCGGCGCCTATCCCATAAAAACCCGACGATCTCCGGCCACCGTAAGCGCGGGACTGCGGACGGCGAGCATGGGTGGCTCCCCGTCCGACCAGAAACAGACCCGAGCGCGACTTAACTTTTTCTTTGTATTAATACCTACAGCAATACATAACGAACAACTGCCACCAGTTTTAATGAATGAAATTCTTGCTCATATCACTACGTGCGACAAGAAATCCCAAGTTATGGAGAAAGTCAAACAAGGTAAGGCAACATTTATGAAATAAAATACAATCACCTTTGTCCTAGCCATTTTATCATCATCAGCTATATATGCCCACTGCTGAGCAACGGCGTCTTCCCACACAGAGAAGGTTTGAGGATTAATCACCTCGCTTACCTAAGCCAGGTTGGCAATTTCTAAGTTATATTATACACTGTGAAATAACCCATTAGAGCCGTGGCAGATGGTTGTATGGCACCTTATATATCTCCATTATTTCTATGATACCTTGGTTTACCCTCACTTTATAATTATTACATTTTATTTTTTGTAGTTTTTAGTTAACCTATGTTATGTGTGTTCTGCGCAAGAATAATTAATGGTTTTTCTTTCTTTCTTTCTTTCAAATCTATGTCGTTTTCGTCCTAAAGTGTAATTCTCGAAGAGGTATTTCTAGTCGGATAGCACGTGCGATGCGAATCTTACTTACAAAACGTCTGGTAGTTCATGTGCGTATTTCCAAGATTATTTTAAACTAAAAATATATATTAAGTAAAATCGCGGGTTACTCACGTAAATATACTGAGAAAAGCTCTACTAGTTTCAGTGTCAGTGAGCTGCGCGACGTCGCCGCGACCGCGCACGCTGCTCATGAGGAAGAACCCCTCTGTGGTTCGAAACTAGTAGAGCTTTTCTCAGTATATTCACGTGAGTAACCCGCGATTTTACTTAATTTAGTATGTCTCACGATAGTTATTATAAAAACATAAAAATATATACTTTTTGTTTTTACTTTATACATCGAAAGTACTCCTTAGGTTAAGTTGTTTTGCTGCGGGACGAAAACGAAATAGATTTAAAGCTGTATTTCCATATTAAACTACACCTAAATCACTGACCTGATTTTTATTCCACCTATTTAATATTTTTTGCAGCAATGAAAAAGAGATACGTACCACCACATGTAATCAATAATATCTTCGGAAATCGTAACCCTGGTCGTAGTATGTCAGCGTTTATTATCGAAAAAATGTTTCAGCAAAGAAGACCTAGTCCAAGTCATTCAGAACTTATTAACAAAGGTAAGTACATTTGTCTATTGTTTCTTTCATAGTAAACTGTAGTAGTAGTGATGTACCAAGAAAAAGAAATACTTAGTAATTAATGGCCGTTTTCATTAACACCCCCAAAATTAAACCATGTCTATACTAACAGTTACTTAGCGTGAAGGCGTAGGTACCTAAAGTAACCACTTGCTAGTTGTAAGTACTGTTGGTTGGTGAAATCGGTCACTAATGTCCTAGTGACGTCGAGTGATCACACTCGATTAATCATTTCAATTTACCGCAACACTGATCAATTCCTAATTATAATATATCTCCAATATTTTCCGTATGATTACAATGATATTTTAGAATTATATGTAAGAGCAATATAAATGTATTATCATTGCAATATGCTCATGTATTCATCACACTAATATTATAAATGTGAAAGTTTCTTGGTATGGATATTCGTCCGTCAATTACGCTGAAATTATTGAACGGATTTTGATGAAATTTGATACATAGGCTGGGTATAGGCTGACTCCTAAGTCAGCCTATACCCAGATTAAATGCTCCCGTGGGATAAAACAGGAATCATATTCTACGCGGACGAAGTCGCGGGCAACAGCTAGTAATAAATATATTCTTGTCATACTGCTCAACATAATCACATTCTATAGAACCTCATCTCAATATAAGGTCCTTTTTCTAATCGAGAAAGTACTCATTGTTCTTTTTATTATGCTAACACTATTAGATCTAAAATATCTAGTAGATTCCATGTATTGTTATATAAATATATATTTATGTAATGTTTTACCTTACAGCTATAAAAAAGGGTTTAATTGCTGCTACTGATAAGGATAAATTACTTGCCAGCACTTGCACTACTGGATCTCAAACGTCTATGCATTATTGGAACGGTAAAATAATTGTCTTTTAACTATGTTAATTATTATTAAGTGTGGAGAATATAAACTCCTACAGAAATTGATGCCCAGTACGGTAAAATGGGGTGATTAGGGATCGAGAGGTGAATAGAGACAGAAGAATCAATAGATATTGGAAAATTCTTCATAGTATCGATTCACCCCTCTTCTGTCTCGATCCTTATTCACCCCATTTTATGCGCTGTTTATAATATGAATAAGGAATACTTACCGGGTTACCAGTTCTCCGGCTCGAAAAGCAGTAGTAAGAACGGGGTGGTTTTTAGTTAATAAGAGTCTAACACTCCCTCTATCCTCACCCAGGCTGGAGAAGACGTGACATGATTTTCCCATTGGATGTTGATGTGTTGGTTGTGCGTGTGCTTCAAAAACCATTTTGATCTGCGTCTAATAATTGTTTCACTTGTTTCACATCTTAAAAAACACGAACCAACATATAATTTTTTCTGTCAGTTATCTCAAAGGCTGCTAAGCCCATAAAATACTTTTCATAGTAGTTATTAGACATTATTGTTTTAAATCTACATCTATAAATTATTTATCGATTATTTGATCTGTATTCAAAGTTCCAGTGCTAGAAAAGAAAGATGTGGCTCCCTCAATCAAGAGTGAGGTTTTAACTAAAATATTTACACATAATAATAAATCGGAAGTCTTAACAAGAGTCGGCAAAGGTATGATCTTCTTTGAGATTATAGTAACATAAGTAGGTACTGCTATCTAATCTAATTTTATTTGTCTTGCTGATCTCAAATGTGACATAATTATGTTTGTTTGTGTTTATATTTGATTCGCTGACGTTCGGCCACTATCTCGCCTGGTGGTAAGCAATGATGAGGTCTACGATGGAGCACGTGTGCCCATAAGTAACATATTCACTCGGACCTTGAACACATACCATACCCTTCAGGGGAACACAGGCTCTGGCAAAGAATTTCACTGCTTAACAGTACGTAGTAAGTTTATAGTAACAAGCTTTCTTGGGCGTATTGTTAAGGAGTACTTTTATACTAAAACTACTAAACTGATTTAGATATAACTTGGCGTACAGAAAGATTATAGATTGTAAGATTCGCGTGCTACATTTTATCCCAGTAATGCGAGTTGAATGAAGCAGTTGATTGCAATCAATCAATTAGTACCTAGCATAGCAGTAGAAGTTAGTTCACATACTAAAGATGTTTTATTTTAATTTGATTTTATAATCATTTAGCTGTAGAAAAAAGACAACTTCCAGCCGAAGTTCTGACCGAAGTACTAAACAAATTAAATGTAAATGATGACAAGGTTACTGTTACTAGTAAGGTTCAAAAAGGTATTTTTTTTTGCCTGATTGTATTGCTATCTTTATTACATTATGTTGATCTCACTGATTAATCTCTGTAGTTTATTAGAACTTTAAAATTTGATATGGATACTTGTTCTAAGACATAAGTTGAATATTTTCTTGCAAAAATTGTGTGTTTTCTCATATCATCATAACATTACGCCTGTTATTCCCGAAAGATTAGGCAGAGGCGCACATTACTCAATGCCACTGTACAATGTAACACCCACTTTTCACTATTTATGTGTAATAGGGGGGTGAGTCTAGTTACATACATATATTGTGCCCAATTCCAGACTTCCTTAAAAAAACCAGTAATACTTAGCCCGCCCCGGAAATCGAACACGAGACTCCCTTGCCCGGCAGTAGCACTTACAACCATTCAACTAACGAGGCAGTCAGTCAGTATGCTTCCTTTGACTAACAATAAGTTAATGTTGACAGTTCTAGAAAAGAGGCATGTGCCAGGCATAATTATTGATAACGTCGTGGTTTGTAAGAGACCCAGCGATGCTAAAACACAAATTTTAAGTCACGTACAAAAAGGTAATGTGATTGTATTGTCATATTCTATAACTTAAGTATATACTTCATTTATACATTCATGTTAGTTATTAATTAATAAACGAATATTCGTTTATTAATTAATAATTAACATGTTCGTTCGATGGTTAAGTGGAGAGAAATAATGTACTTGTGGACTGTATAATACGCAATATAATAATTAACTAGACTGTTACAATAATGGTTACAAGAAATTGAATATAACTGTGGATTAGAAGGCGCGAGCGCGGACGTGCGTCGTAGTGTCCAACAGCTGACTGGCGAGACGGCGGCCGTGCGGGGCAGGCGGTCGTCGCCGCGCACGCCGCCGTCTGTCGTCCCCTCCAGTGCGCAGCGGAGGCCATTGAGTGCATGACTCAACAAACATGAATGTTTATACATAAGTAGGTAATGTGGATAAGGTAGGATAATACATGTTACACTAAATATAGAGGTAATACTTAGCAGAAATTCTCTTTGAATTAAGTCATAATTTTGCTAATTTACCACAATGAAATAAAAGTTTTAATGTTTATGTTATAACTTAAATAAATTATTATGTTTTCGGTTTACTCACATGTTTGACGAGGAACTCGACTAGTTTCAAGCTATGCTCGAGTCTCATATCCATAAGCAGCATTCCACGACACGCGACGCGGCGTCTGTCGCGCTACTACTGGCTGCAGTCGCCGCAAGTCGAGTTCCTCGTCAAACAGTTACATGAGTAAGCCGAAAACATAATAATTAATTTAAATGTATGTTAATAAAACACTATATACGTAATCATGTAATGATATATTTACATTGCATAACTATTACAGTAATAGCTACTTTTAAGCAAAACTTAACCCTACGTACATTAGTGTAAATATGGAATTCTTGACCACTTTTTGCAGCGGTAAGCAAGGGGTGTTTATCTCCCGTGGTGATGGACGAAGTTCTCGCTAGAATAAAAGATAAGGATACAGTAATTGAAGTCTTGAAGAAGGTTCGACAAGGTAAAATTACTTACGAACTTTATGGTATCCATCAGACTTTTAGATTTCCATTCATTCTTTCCTATAATCCTATCGTAATTTAATAATGTTACTAGGCAGCTGATTTAGTTATGTTTATATGCAAATATGGAGTTCCAGGACACATTTGGTTTATAATGAAAGTGCCTGTAGGCTAATCATTAATCAACTCTACTCGTGACCAGAGGGTTGGCTATTTCTTCGGAAAGAAAATAAGCATTGCCATTCAACGTGGCAATGCTGCCAGTCTTCTGGGCACGTTCCCAGTGGCAGAGATGCGGATGAATTCTTTGACGCCTAACTGATGGAATTTCGTTTTTTTATTGTTTTAATTTATTAATAATTGTGTTATGCAAATTACAGCATTGGAAAAACAACATCTACCAGGTCATGTTGTAAATCATATTATGTTTAGTAAAACGCCCAGCGACTCAAAAACAGACTTACTAAAGAATGTCCAAAACGGTAAGATCTATTGAAATACTTCTTAATGTATACACAGCCAAATCGTTTGTTTCAATTAATCCTTAGTAAAGCACTTTTGATTCGTCAAATTGAATTGTCAGTGAAGCTAGGTGCTCATTCCAAAGTGTAGTTTCGAATGGAGAAGAACAAGCAAGAAAATCCATCGTTACTCTTAAACATACAGCTTGCTAATAAAAATAAACATCATATATGATCATAATTAAACGAACTATTGAGTTAACAACATAATATTTCTTTATAGCTATCGGCAAGAAACAACTATCACCTGCTGTTATGGACGATATTCAAGGAAGTGTCAGCTTACGTGACAATAAATCTAAAGTCTTCGAGAAGATCCGCAAAGGTTAGCATGCGAGCATTTTTTTTTGTGAATTTGAACGTACCCAAGTTCAAGGACATAAAAAGGCAGATATAATGTCACTTAGAAATGATTGAAGCACCAAAATGTCAGTTGTGTATTTATGTGTGCGTGTGTAATAGGTTACCACGTTACCAGACTTAAGAATATCACAGATGTCCTTCGTGTCAATGTGTTTATGTTTGGCGTGTAAGTCTACAGTAACCAGGTGCCACAGCCGTTGTTTCAAGAGACTACGCTCGTTTTTTTTCTACGTCCTTGTGCTAGTATTGTTTAACTGAAGAGTTAGTTTGTTTAAACGCGCTAATCGATTAATTCATTAAGGGTCGATTTTTTAGTTAATAATTAACTTTAGAAGAAAATTGACTTTTGACATTTTTTAGTATGGAAGTATTGTTAAAATATTCAAAGTTTTTTCTCAGTTAAAATTTATCTGGCGTTGGAAAATTGGACCTAAATAGGCTATAGCCATAGGCTCATCAAACATCAGCGGATAAAAACGCGCGGGAGTAGGTAGCATTTGATAAGATGAGGGCTTTAAAGAAAAGCATCTGATAATGTTTTCGTCATCTTTATTACGAGTTACAACTGTTTCAGCTATAACGAAGAGGCATGTGACTCCATCTACAATGAACGAAGTTATGGCTAAAATGCATGCAAGTGATAATAAATTTGAGATTTTAAACAATGTTCGTAAAGGTATGCCAGTGTCTGTTCAGCATAATACATAGATTACATTACATAATTAATTAATATTTCATATATTTGTTTAAAATTAAAACTAAATTACTAAATACTACTTGACAAAAAATAAAATAATATTTAAAAATATGAAAAATAGTAGCCGACCAGTAGCAGGAACATGGTCTAAGATACCGGTTGTTAGGGCTCCAGAGACAGTATCAGGCCCTTGATCCATCCACCTAACGCCAGCCTCCTAAGATGACTGTCGAGGCTTTTAAGGATTAACCCATTGGCCAACACGACTATCGGCACAATGATAGCTGAATCCACACTACAAATGTCGACAACCTCGTAAGCTAATTAATATTATTGGTATTCATGTTTTAGCTGCAGAAAAAGGACAAATACCACGAGATGTTGTTAGTGAAATTCTAGTCAATGTGACAAAGTGTGACGATAAATTTAAAGTTATAGAAAAAATTCGTCAAGGTTTGTCAACAATTTTCTAAGGTACTATCGGCAAAGTTTACGGTATAATTTTTGAACAAAATCCTGTGGCAAACTGATGGATTTTTAGAGCATTTTCCCTGTGGACGCTCGTGCCGAGTGCATTCAAATATCGCCTAATGATAGTCGACCGCCAACTTTGTCGATTGTACCTATTATAATAAACATGTCTATTACAAAATTATAATCGTTTAACCAAATGTTGTAAAGAGTACTAGAGTTCTCTTTTCCCAATAATACCTTACATAGCTTTAAAGAGTATCAATCTGGATTTGTCTTGATTCTACAAATTGCAGTTGTATCAAAGAGACGAGTGTCACATGGTGTCTTAGAAGCAATCTTGGGAAAGCAACAGTCGTATGATAAATCAAAAATTATGAAGAGTATTAGCAAAGGTAAGTAAGATTGCCAGTTTTTTTAAAGACTGCCTCGTTGGCCTAGTGTTCGCAAGTGCGACTGCCGGGCAAGGGGTCTCGGGTTCGATTTCCGGGTCAGGTATTTTAAAAGTATTACTGATTTTTTTTAATTATCATTAGCAGCATGGAGTCTGGAATTGTGCCCGATATATGGCAATAAGCTCACCCCATATTACATGGGACTCATAACATAAATAGTGAAAAGTGGGTGCTACATTGTACATACAGTGGCATAATGGACACCTCTGCCTACTCATTCGGGAATAAAAGGCGTGATGTTATTTTTATGTTTTTTTAAAGATGCGGTTAAGGCAGCTGCATGTTTTTCGCATGCTATCTTAATCAATATGGTGCCAAAGAAGAAGAATTCATTTCAATTTATGTATATATATTTTGGTTTTGTTACAGCGGTAGGGAAAGGACAATTGTCACCGTCAGTAGTTGATGACATAGTTTCTAATGTGCACCCTACTGACAGCAAGACCGAAGCTTTGAAGAAAATACGTAAAGGTACTGCGAGATTCGAATAAAATACAGATACACAAATTCTTAAGTGTGTGAGAGCCATGCTTCGGCACGAATGGGCCGGCTCGACCGGAGTGATACCACGGCCTCACAGAAAACCGACATAAAACAACGTTTGCGTTGTGTTTCGTTGAGGTTACCGGAGGCCCAATTATCCCCTCCTCTTCCCCAATCTAGAAAGGTGCTAGAAGAATTAATTTTTTATAACTATATAATTTAATAACGCTCTTACAATTATTTATTATTTTCCAGCTATAACAAGGAAACATGTTACACCTTATGTTATGAATGTAGTTCTTACAAATATACAAGGCAGTGAGAATATACCCGAAATCATGGCCAATGTTCATAAAGGTAATAAAAAAATTGCATGACGCTCTATGTCTAACAAAATCCTCTTAATGTTGAGATGATGAATCTTCCTGTTACAGCGATAGAAAAAGGACAACTACCGCCAGAGATTATGGGTGAAATAATCAAGAAAATTCGTGCCAAAGACAATAGGAAACAAGTTATTGAAAAAGTCCGTAAAGGTATAAAAAGAAAGATATAACATAACATCACGCCTTTGATCCCCGAAGGGGTAGGCAGAGGTGCATATTACGGCACTTGATGCAGTGGTACAATGTAACACCCACTTTTCACTATTTATGTTATGAGTCCTATATGTAATAGGGGGTGAGCCTATTGCTATATACCGGGAAAAATTCCAGACTCCGTGCTACTACTGATATTAATTTAACTCGTCGAGTACCGTCATTATAGACACAATTATAGAACAATAGGTTGCGGTCACCGGTGACCGCTTGGTGTTTGACAGTTTAAAAACCCAGCAGTACTTTGCCCAACCCGGAAATCGAAACCGAAACCCTTTGCCCGGCAGTCGCACTTGCGACCACTTAGCCAACGAGGCAGTCAAAAAGAAAGATATCTTGAAAATAGCATTATAAAGTTAATACGTACCTAGTTAATTATTTATTAATTGATAAAATATAATTGTTATAGCATTGAAAAAGAGACAAGTCCCACGTCACGTTTTAGATAGTATTTTCGCCACTATCGTGACGTCCTCTGGTAATACAATAGATGTTATGGATCAAGTCCGTAGAGGTAAGAGTTGACTCTAAAGTAGATAACTATAACTCAATAATAGATTCTTCTTATATTTTATTTCACTTTTACTTCGATTATTAAGTAATTTTGAGTACTCATAATTTAATTGATAATATTTTTTATCGAAAAGTAATAGTAATTTAAATAATGGTAAAGTTTATATGCTATTAATACATTAATAATAATTATGATCTACTACAGCTACGCTGAATGGACAAATACCGCCTACGGTGTTAGGTGATATACGAGCCTGTGTGCGCCCTAAGGATGACAAGAGCGTAGTGAATGAAAAGGTTCGACTCAGTAAGTATAAACTAAATAATTGTAAGTAAATAAAACGAGATAAATAAACGTACTTAACCTGTTAACGCAATGCAAACGCCATCGTCATCATCAAGCCTTTAAGTGTGGGAGTGCCATGCTACGCCACGAATGGGCCGGCTCGACCGGAGTAATACCACGGCCTCACAGAAAACCGACGTGAAACAACGCTTCTCAAAATCAATCAAAATATCCTCAATCCCTGAATCTCAAGAATCCTCGAATTCTTAATCCCAAAACGGCCGGTAACGCACTTGTAACGCCTCTGGTATTAGATGTCCATGGGCGACGCCGATTGCTTACCATTAGGTGATCTGTACATACAAACTGTGAACCTCCTTTTTTGAAGTCGGTTAATAAGAGTAATATTATGTTTCAGTTTTGCAAAAGAAACACGTGCCTCCCTGTGTTATGAATGATATCGTAGCTAGTAAACAGCTTAGTGACAGCAAATCAGAAATTGCAAGGCACTTGCAAAAAGGTGATTGACTCCTCTTTTTTGTAATTAACTAATTACAAATAACTTTGTTAACCTCATTCTTTCATTTCTTGCTTTACATGAGTCGAAATATTAAGAGAAAAATTGAATAAAGAAATCCAGTCTATACTTTGCGCACATTAATATTTAATATTGACCCACACTAGGATTTTCCCCTATGTCGTGGGGAAATTCGTCGTCGCCGTACCATTTCATACACACATGACACCTAGACCTGGAACAACAATCTCTGGATCACGCAAAGAGTTGTCTAACATGAAAATATTTTTTTTGTAATAACTATCGTGAGACATACTAAATTAACTAAAAATCGCGGCTTACTCTGAATATACTAAGAAAAGCTCTACTAGTTTCGAACCACAGAAGAGTTCTTCCTCATGAGCAACGTGCGCGGTCGCGGCGACAGTAGGCTGCGCGACAAGGCCGCGACAGCGCACGCGACATCATTCACGTGAGTAACCCGCGATTTTTAGTTACTTAATGTAAATAATTATTACAGCTCTAGGACATCGAAAACTATCATCGTCAGTTATAGAAGAAATAGTCTCAAACATACATCCGGATGACAATAAATCACAAGTATTGAAGAAGATTCGTAAAGGTACAATACTTTTCAGTATTTTGTAAACTTTTCCATATTGCCAAAAAAGGGTAAGCGTTTCGATTTCTGATAATTTTCGATAGTTGCATGTAATTTATAATTATTCCTGCTGCATGGCAATAGGCTCATCAATTATAAATCAGGGAACGCTAAAGTGGCTGCCACACATTCTGATATGTATCGCTGCCATTTCGGTTGTACCTACTATTGTAAAAAGTGTAGTAGAAAGAAAGAAAACCAAATTTTTACGTTATGTGACATACCTACGTTGTTTTCTTTTGAGGTCCTCTATCCAACACTCGCGCTGAAATCCTCAAACGCCACTCAATTTCAAATCGCCCTACAGTGTAGTTTTGTCACAACAATTTTTTTGTAAAATAACGAAGATGGTACGATATTTAAGTACGACATGAAATTTATTAGCCTTTCAGTATTTGGGCGTTAGTGCCATCTTCATATAAGTACCCGTTCACTTATGACAGATAATTCATACAAATTACGTTCTGTATTCAAAATTTGGTACATATTGGCTAGATCTAGACATTGTGTTGACACCCTTAATGTGTTAAGATAATGACTTGCATGTTTTAGCTGTTGCAAAAAAACATATGACACCTTCTACGTGGAATTTAATTCTCTCTGATGTAAATAAGACTGATTGCTCGACTGTAGTCATGAAGAAGGTCCGCAGAGGTATGCTGTATAAGTTGTTACTTTTGTGTTTTACATTACTAACATACGAAAAGATATAATATATTAAATTGTAATTAACACAATAACAAGAACATATAATAATTCTGGTGTGATGTGTTATTCCAATTATTGTGTTACGTACATAATTATATACTATTTATTGTAGCCGCTGACATAGGCCATATACCATCTGTGGTGATGAACGATATACTTGCACGTGTTCTACCTGATGATGACAAGTCAGATGTTGTGAAGAAAGTTTCTAAAGGTACACAGACATCTTGTACTCATCATGCAAAAAGACACAATTAATAATTAAAACACATATAATATTTCAGCGGTACAGAAAAGAAAACTTTCTAAAGGCGTCATACATGACATAACCAATTGTTATTTGCGACTGCGAGGTGAAGAACCAATCGTGGAGAAAGTTAAAACAGGTTGCCAAGTTTTACAGATAATAATAGAACATATAAATTAAAAGTAAAATAAACATTAAAAAGATATAAAATAATGTATAACTTAATAAAATATTATACAGGGTACCTTGTAACTCGATGTATTCCTCTCGGAAAATAATAATGAATTAGTCACTATAACTAATTTCATCAACAAATAAAAAAGTACTGGTTTCATTTTAGTGATTTCTGAAATTATTAGTATTAATAAATGTTTATTTATTTGTTGACAACAAATTAATACTCAAATCACTTAAATCAAACCAGAACTTTTTATTTATTAAGTTTTTGTAGTTAGATCGGGAGTTATTCACCAAAACCGAACAAGTTGAATATCTCAGAAACTAGCCACTTTCGGACCAGGGACCTCAGGGCTAATTTTATAGGAAATTAGTTGTTTCATCACTTCCCGTCACTTCCCGAGGAATCGTCGAGTTACAAGTCACTCTGTATATCTTTTAATATTCGAATATTGGTTGTAGCAATTGAAATGGGCGAAATGTCACCTTCTCTTGAAACAACCCTAAAAGGATTAGCAAAAAATGACACGGAGAAAGTCTGTAGTAGAAGATCTATATATAATAAGAACTATCGTAAAGGTAAGTGGATACATAGTCTTAAAACTCTCAGTCTAGATAAAATATTAGGATTTTGTAACTGTTTCAAAAAAAAACTCTCTTCAGCCACGTTAAACCAATTGTTTTAAACTATTACTCCTTTTTAAGGCTTATCAGAACTACCAATTATTTAATATTAATAATATATAAATTTGTTTGTCAACAAACAAACTTACTTGTCGCATTTATGTTCCAGTAGGTATAAGTTAGGATATAAATAAAGTTATTATTGCTTTTATTTCGTTTTATTTTTCAGGTAGAAGTAAAATACATGTCCCTCCTTCCGTTAAGGAAGAGATGTATGCAGACTTACTAGCTAGCGAAAATAAGTCCCAAATTATAAAGAATGTTCGCAAAGGTGCCTCAAATACTTAATTTTATAATATGATGTATAATAAAATTGTTGTTTTAAACTGTTACTTTTTTCTTTCAGCCGCTGAAAGAGGTTTACTATCGCGCGAAGTCATGAACGACATATTGCTTAGTGTTCAGTCGTCCGACACCAAATCTGTTATATCTGAGAAAGTTCGTTCTGGTAAGTTCTGGAAAACATAGCGGAATATAATGTAATATCTAATAATAAGAATATAAGAATGACAAATTATTCACAAATATTTATTTATGGCTTATGTTTTTTTATTCAGCGGTATATAAAGGTGAACCATGTCCTGCTGTCACGGATAATCTTAATCCTGATGACAAACAATCACAATTCGTGAAGAAAGTCCGTAGCTGTGAGTATAACCACATATACACATACTGCCATGTGAACAGTAAATAAATATAGATAAGCCTTTTGTTTCATTCTTCCACAATGTTTGGTTAGTACATAACAATATGACCATATTCTGTTAATAATGTTTAGTACAAATAAGGTCATTTTTATAATTAGTTAGTTAGTTACATTTAGTAGGGGGAAGTCCCGTAACGCCGGACGGCACCTAACACCGTACGCCTGTATTATTTCGATAACTGACAACACGAGCGATTCAATTTGTACTAAAAATTTTAGGTGACTGCCACTGGGAGACTTCCCCCTAAAAATTAGATCGCTCGCTTTATTAGTTATAGAGATAATACAAGTGTAGGGCGTTAGGTGCCGTCCGGCGTTAAGGGACTTCCTCCTAAGTGTTTCGCGATAGTTATTAATACCTTCACCTGGAAAATATTTTCCCAGCTTTTGAAAAGGAATATGTAACGCCGTGTATTGCAAACAAAGTGATTGCTGATGCACGCAACGCTCGCAATAAAGATCAAATCACCAAAATTGTTGGTAAAGGTAAGTTTTACTAGATATCATTAGAACAATAATTTTAACATGAACATATACATTTTGTAATAAAAAACCAATTTTTACTTTTATACTAGTTGTCTTATTGAAAAATTGATTTTATGTATGTGCGATTGGTGCTAAAATCGAACAAAGATACTTCAGTCTATCTTCACATAGTTAAAACATATTTTATATTTGTTATAACAAAATTATTTTATAATTTCAGCGGTAAAGAAAGGCAATCTTCCACAAGGTGTCTTGGATGATTTAAATGCTAATATTAAACCCAAAGAAAAGAAATCCGTCATATTGAAGAAGCTAATAGAAGGTACATACAACTCGAAGAGCTGTTGTAGGAACAGGGTGGTTATTTAGTCAGTAAGAGACTGACACTCCCTCTCGCCTCACCCAGGCGGGAGAAGTCATTCGATCACTTTCTCCCCTTAAAAATTGATCGTTTTTAAGAAATAATCAATTAACTAATATATTATTCATTGATACATTCAACTATGACAAAATAAAGTATTGGAAGCATACCTTATACCTCTAGATACACCCAAGGATTCTGTTATAACATTAATATAAACATGTGATGCGATGATCTCACCCGTCCAAGAGTATAGAAAGACATATAATCATATATCTGGATTATTTTATTAATATATTAAACTATTGCAGCTTTGGAAAAAAGGAAAATGCCAGCCAGTGCTTTAGATAACATAGTGGCAGAAGTACAGCCAACTGATAATAGAGCCGACACTATTAAACGAATCCGTAAAGGTATGTCTGATAGCTTTAGTTTTTCTATACCACGAGGTTGGCAAGAAAGCACATGGCCCATCTGATGGTAAGTGGTTACCGTGACTTATGAACGGTTGTAACGCATATGACATTACATGCACCTTGCCACCGTTTTACTTTATTAAATAATTATATTTAACTAGCGACCCGCCCCGGCTTCGCACAGGTGCAATATGCATGTATTATACATACAAACCTTCCTTAAGAATCACTCTATCTATTAAAAAAAACCGCATCAAAATCCGTTGCGTAGTTTTAAAGATCTAAGCATACATACGGACATACAGCGAAAGCGACTTTGTTTTATACTATGTATTGATACATTAACCAAAAAACAAAATTAGAATACCGGTTCGATCGAATTGACGGCTTCACAGAAAACTGGTATAAAACAACACTTTTGCCATGGGAATAAAGTTACCGTAAGTCCAATTCCTCCACGCCCCAACCTCCCTAATCCTCAAATTCCCAATTCTCAAATTTGTAACCCAAAAGGCCGGCAACGCCTTTATTATTCCTCTGGATTTCCGTGTATCCATGGGCAGCGCTGATTACTTACCTATCCATCTGTTCGTTTGCCGAAAATGAAAATATTGAACTGGTTCTATTTCTTTATAATATAATATATATTAAATAATACTTTTTTATTATAGCTATCGACGATGGTCAGTTAGCTCCCACTGTTTTGGATGATATCCTCGTCAATATAAAAGCTACTGATACTAAGCCAAAAGTTTTGAAGAAGGTTCGTAAAGGTAAGTCAAAAACGTAAAATAATAATAATCTGGAATCTTATATATACGGATTTAAAAAAAAATATATAAACATACTACTTTATTACTATCGACAAGATTACAAGAAATCTGGCAATAGCGGATAATACTAAAATAGATAGATAAAGTTGTATTATTTTTATTAATGGTTACAATATAAAATACTAGCGACCCGCCCCGGCTTCGCACGGGTGCAATATGCATGTATTATACATACAAACCTTCCTTAAGAATCACTCTATCTATTAAAAAAACCGCATCAAAATCCGTTACGTAGTTTTAAAGATCTAAGCATACATACGGACATACAGCGAAAGCGACTTTGTTTTATACTTTGTATTGATATACAAGTTGTTGAATAATTTAGTGTTGTTCAATCAATGACTATTATTAAATATATTTACAGCAATAGCTAAGAAGCACGTGTTACCATCCGTTATGAATGAAGTACTCGCTAATGTAAGGGCTGGTAATAACAAGGCGGCCATCTTGAAGAATGTTAATAAAGGTTACACTTTTAGTAATGTTTCACTAGAATGAATAGACAGTTCAAACACCTGGTACGCAATCGGCACCACCTATAGATACCCGCAACACCAGAAGAGAGTGCGTTGCGGGCCATAAACCCACCTTTAGACCCATAACTCAAATTAAAGCTATTTATACTCCGAAAATGTTATCATGTTAAAAAATATTTGATTAGATTTATTTCTATATTTTCTATTCCAGCGATAAATAAAGGACAACTGCCACCAGACGTTAAGGACGATATAATCGCTGGTTTGAAACCAAGTGATAACAATGAAGATGTAATGCGGAAGGTTATCCAAGGTGAACTTATATTATCCATATGAATCTCACAAACTATTTACACACTACATTTTGTATGACCTATTTGACGCAATTAAATCATTACTTCAATGTAATAATGATCCCGAGCATATGGCGCTGCGCATACCACGCAAGCTTCAAAGAACCATCAGACTGATGGGGCCCAGTAGGGCTAATGCCCGTCTCGGAGATGGAAATGATTGATTTTCCCCCTTCAAAAAAGTAATAATGATAATTATGATTCCAGTGATTGAGAAGAAAAAAGTCTCCAATTTTGTTTTAGACGATATACTAGGAAATTTAGAAACAAATAATCATAAAGTGAAAGTGGTTAATATTATTCGTAAAGGTAATATTTTACTTATACATATAAAAGTCCAAAGTAATTGTTCGGCACTATCTAATAATAAGACTATTTTAGCCATTGATAATGGACAAATGGCACCTGCAGTCATGGATGAAATAATGCTGAACGTACGAGAAAATGACCAGAAGTCGCAAATTTGTAAAAAGGTTCATAAAGGTAAGCTAAGTCCTAAAACTTAATGAATTTAATGTAACAATAGTTAATTTTATTTAATTAACAAATTGTGAAAAGCATTTCTTTTGGATCAGTTGACTTATGAATTATAATAGCTTACAAAATAATAAATAGATTTGATACGCGCTCTGCTACGAAGTTCGGTACATACCAGGGCGTAGCGCGTAGCACCTTAAGATTTCGTAGCTCATTGCTACGATTTCTTCGTAGCCATGACTGCCTAATAGAATTCAGTATAATTATTTGTTTTTAATTTACAAAAATATTTTCAGCTATTGCTAAAAAGCATGTATCACCGCATGCTATGAACGATGTACTAGCAAATGTAGATAAGAGTCAAAATAATTTAGAAGTCATCAAACACGTTCGAAATGGTATGTTTGTTGAATTATTCTCTACAAACACATTTGTAAAATTACATATTATAATGTTTTTTTAAATTAATTATTGTAAAACATTATTGTTCAAGAAAAGTAATTTATGACCAACAGCGAAGTTTTTAAATTGTACGTTATGTAATGCTGTAGTGTTTTTTTTACTTATACATATAGCTGATTCATCTCCGTTTTATATGTTTTAGCGGTGGTAAGGAAACAGATACCGGCAGCTGTATTAAATGAAGTACTTGCAGAGATAGTGCCCAGTGACAACAAAGCCCAAGCCACCAAGAAAGTCCGAATAGGTAAAATTCAAAGCAAAATGTTGCACTACCTAATATTATCTATTAAAAATGCTAAAGTGAAAACTAAATAGTATATTCGTCTTTGAAACTTAGTACTATATTTTAGTTGGGCAATAACTGAATTTGTTACAGCATTAATGAAAAGGCAGGTCCCAAATCACATCATGAATAGTATAAATGATATTTTAAAACCAAGACACCAGATGTTACCGGATTCTGGTAAGAAAATTTAAAAATGTATTTATGAATGTCAAAGGTAAATTTTGAGTGAATGTATTCCAATCTTTTTTTTTCGTCAGAAACAAGACTTGTTTTCGACATTACATTAACAATTAATTTTATATTAGGTACATCACACCAAAATTATTTATTTACATTACTTCCCTAAGCAATCGTTGAAACTAAACGTCATCGCTTTAATCATGTTCCACATTTCACAATAAATTTAAATTATTCATATTTTTTTCCTTTGGATTATCCAATCGTGCTGCCGTAACATATTTAATATTTTTTTCCTTATGGTTCTCATATTGGAATGCAAGTAATGCAACAAGCTGTGAAAATTTTTAGTGATACCATCGGTCGTATTCGTAATGAGCATGATCTATTTTTATTTCACGATATTTTAGTTCTTCTCTTTTCAATTACATACGACATAAAACATTATTGAAAATACACACAATTTACAGTTAAATATATATAAAATCTGAGAATAAATCTTTATATTAAAACTTTTATAGGACATACTAATTAATTATTATGTTTTCGGCTTACTCACGTAACTATTTGATGAGGAACTCGACTAGTTTCAAGCCATCCTAGGAGCGACGCGTCGCGCTGCTACTGAGCAGCAGCTGGTAGCAACTCGACAATAATAAAAATAAATTTTAACTAATAATGCTACCACGCAGCTACTAAAGATGTTTACTGACATTGGTGATTAGTAAATATTGTCTCAAATGCGAAGAAAATAAAATATGAAATACTAAGTAATTTGCAAAAATGTATAATAACAGTGTAGTTCCACCATCGTATTGTTACTTATCGATTATTTTAAAGCTAAAAAACACGTGACACCGGTGGTATCCGTTGGTATTGGTACCGGTACTGGTGTAATTGGACAAGTAATGGCCGATGTCAAAACTGGAAAAAATAAATGTGAAATCCTTTGCAAACTTCGTAAAGGTAGTTATATCATATTATTATTATTTTATAGGATAAGCCGATAAACGAGCAGACGGATCACCTGATGTTAAGCAATCGGCGCCGCCCATAGACACCTGAAACACCGAAGATGTTATAAGTGCGTTACCTGCCTTTGGAAATTAGGAATGTCTTTATAAAAGGATAAATTTATAATGTAAAATAAAATTTAGGAATAATTTACTTGAACTATAATATTAATACGTATCGTACCATGAACATTCTTATTTTAGCGGTTAAACATGGAAAGCTGCCTCGAACTATAATGGAAAATATTCTTGCTGTTATTCACCCAGCTGATAAAAAAGTGGATGTTGTAAAGAAAGTACAAAATGGTATGAATATATATCCTCACTCGATATTGTACGCAAAACTGTAAAACTGTCTTTATTCAAAATGTATATTTCAGTATTGGAAAAGAAGCACATTCCCACAGAAGTGAAGAAAAAGGTGCACTGCAACCAGCAATCTGATACAAAAAACGAAATTTTGAAAAAAGTCGGTGAAGGTAAATCTTTTATTACACACATACATAATTTTGATAGTTAACGTACTCGTAATAGATTATATTAAATAAAAACTTATTTTTATATTAGCGGTAAATAAGGGTCAGTTATCTCGCAGCGTGTTAGATGAACTAACAGATGAAATAAGTCCAGAAGACAAAAAGTGTCAGATAATAAAGAAAGTTAGTAAAGGTTAGTAGAAGATCCAAGAAATCCATTTTGATTCTTAATATATCCAACTATGTAGGTATATAATCAAACAATTTCACTATTTTAGCAATTGCAAAGAGACACCTAACAAATGCTGTAGCTGAAAATGTATTAGCCGATGTTTACAAAAGTAACACAAAATGTGATGTCTTCAGAAAAGTTGAAAAAGGTATACATTATAAACAAAGTAGTAAAGTAGAAAATTTGGAGGTATAAGTGGTATAAAATACTATACGCAAATATTGGTACAGCATTAAATTGTTGTCAAGTAGGATGCCAAATCTGAAAAAACAGAATAACTAAAAGTGGGCAAAGCCAAAAATACAGTTTTTAAAAATACATTTGATGTAAAACACATTTTCGTGAGTAAAGTTTCTTATAATAAAATTATTTTTTCTAGCCATTCAGAAAGGTCAATTGCCCCAATCGATCTTAGATGATGTTGTTGCTAATTTGAAGCTTAGCGACAACAAGTCTGCAGTCATCAAGAAAGTTTGTAAGGGTAAGATCAATTTACGATTCCTTGACACAACTGAAAACTACTATGACCAAATTGTTGTTACATTATTTAACATAGTTAAATTAGTTACCGTTAGTTAGCATAAGGGCCCGTTGGTAGAGGGTGCCCTAGACGGACATATACTGATCAGATTAGCGATTAGCGAGCATGCATGAAAAGACTGATGATTGTTGATGAACCGAAAGAGGTATGTAAGAATCGCAGCAATTGACGTTCCATAGTCTCTAGTCATTGGGAGACAGGCGTTAAGTTATGTATATATGTTATAACAGTATTTTTCTTACACCTTAATACAGCGATAGAAAAGAAGACGGTAGCACCAACACTTATGGATGATTTATTTAGCGAAGGTCAGACTAGTGGCGATAAAACTGATGTTATGAAGAATATCCGTGCAGGTCAGATCGAACAAACACTTATTTTTCTTACACAACAAGGAAAGAAAGTGATTTAATATTTTATCAATTTTGCAGCGGTTGAAGATGGCATCCTAGCACCCGCTGTTATGGATGAAGTGATGGCTAATGTAACGCCCGAGGATACCAAATTACAAATTATGAAAAAAGTTCGAAAAGGTACTGTTATTACTACATTTGATATTGACATTAGTTACAACAGTTATCCTAGAGATATATAAATACTAATAATTAATTATTGTGGCAATATTATTCATGATTGCAGCTATAGAAAAAAGATACGTAACACTCTGCGTTATGGAGGAAGTCCTTGCTACTATAAAACCAGAAGATAATAAAAAAGAAATTGTACAAAAGATTTGCAAATGTTAGTATAGATTGTGCAGACAGAATGAATAATAATACAATAATTTTGTACACAATTCTAGAATGTCAATTTTGAATCACTGCTTTTAGCGGTAGCAAAAGGGCAAATACCCCAGTCTGTCATGGATGACATCCGCGAAGATGTGAAACCAAGTGATACAAAAGAAGATGTAATGAGAAAAGTATGTAAAGGTAAAATCACAATCAATTTCCTTCCCAAATCTCCTTATCCCAACCCTCCAATCTTACGCTTACCTTACCCCCAAAAGGCCAACAACATACTTGTGACTCTTCGATGAGCGACAATTATTGCTTACCATTAAGTGATCTACCATTAGGTGTCTATATCGTTTGCCGTCCTGTACCATAAACAGTATTATATATAATTAATCGTTGTCAACCTGTTTCCGTCTGTTAAAGTTAGATACGTCCATATACGTACATATAATACATTTTAGACCGACTTCAAAACAAGAAGGAGGTTCTCAGTTTGTCTTGTATATATGTTTGTGCGTGATAATCTCACAATTGAAAGAATTGGTTTTAATGCGGTTTTCAGAAAAGTTAGGAGATGGTTTTAGAATAATAATTATCCGACTTAAAAAGAGGAGGCTAAAGTCATTATTAATAAACGTAGTTTATGAAAGAATTATGTACAAATATAAAACTAAAACCTACAGAAGAACGAGTAATTTGTTTGTCACAAACTTAATAATAATATCTTATACATTTCTAACCATACAGCCATTGAAAAGAAACTAGTACCACAACCAGTCATATATAAGATATTGCACCCCAATGAAGAAGGATTTCCTATCATAGACAAAGTTCGCCATGGTAAGTCACAAAAGTATTCAATTCTACATACATACGGTTTAAAATTACAACAAGGAAAAATTAGCAACCATTAAATGAAATGCTTATGAAATTCAATGAACAACTCAAATATTTTCGCAAGTAAACATAAAATATTGTTTAAATAAAACAAGCAAATGTTGGGAGAAGCAAAGTTAAATAAAAGCTTGTATATGGAATAGATGTATGACATTAATTATGTAGTTTTCGTAATGACCCACGTGCATCTTATTTGCAGCTATGAAGAAAAAGAAATTGACACCGTCTGTCATGGATGACATAGTCGCACACGTAGGGCCTGGTGAGAAAAAAACTGAAGTTATGAAGAAAATTCGCCAAGGTACATACATATTACATATTGATTATAGTATAGTTTAATATTAATAATACCTACGACCTACCTAATTGCATACGTGACCACTGTCATGTTTACCTTCACCTGCTTACGTAACAACCAGGGCCTTTAACCAAACGCCACTTTAGCGCTTGTCTACAGAGAGAGTAGAAATCAAAATGTTTGGGGATGACACTGACAAGTGTCAAAATGTACGTCAATTCCATATAATTTAGTTTTCTATTCTACATGTAGACAAGCATTAAATGGCATTTGGCTACAGCTGCAGTAGTTGGAGTGCTAATCCTTGGAACGCATCATCAGTTAGGTGTGACAGGTTTAGTAGTAGTAGTACTTCTGGTAGTAGTTAGTAGGTCATCATTAGTACTAGTTCTTTACTAACTTAATTGCACCTAACGACATTATAAGTAAACCAGTATGGACAGGTTACCTAAACATCATTTGATCATGAATTTACACATGAATATGTTGATGGCGCTTCTCAAAGCTGAGGCACAATGTTGCTAATTTTCACATTATAACTTGCCTGCTTATAACCTTTTTACTTATAATTGATTGCACTCTATATTTTTTTCAGTTCAAGTAACGCGACATGCAACACATTTCCCGTAAGATGCGAACCGATCCTTAGGATTATTATCAAATATAAATTTGATAATAATGTATAATAATATATTAGAGGTATAATGTATATAAAGTGAAATACTAAATTCGTGTTAGTTACACTATCTATAACTCAGAAACAGCTAAATTGATTTGGCTGAAAATTGGTGGGGAGGTAACTTAGAAGCAGGCATCGGATATAGGATTCATTTTAACCAAGGAAATCACGAAAATCTTACGTGAACGGGAAAACACGGGATTCCGCGTACAAAGTCACGGGCAGCTAGTTCGATGATAAAACGGAAAGTCGAGATCTCTTTAGTTGTCGGCGTGTAATTATTATTGTGGTTTAATCTGTCGTGCATTCCTTATTGAATATCAACCGTTGTGGTTAATTTAATAATTATGTAGTTTCCTATTCCATTTGAGGAAGGATATGTTTTTATGCTTAATTATGTAAACATTACCATCAAATCAAATGCGATAATGTTTACAGCCAATATGTTAATGCAACATTAATTGTAATCCTTCGTAGGTATGTACTCTGTAGGTACTAATTGATACTAATGAGCTATTTGAAAACGCAAGTGCGACTGCCGAGCAAGGGGTCTCGGGTTCGATTTCCGGGTCGGGCAAAGTATTACTGGGTTTTCAAAAAATTCTCAGTAGTAGCACGGAGTCTGGAATTGTGCCCAGTATATGGCAATAGGCTCACCCCCTATTACATGGGACTCATAACATAAATTAGTGAAAAGTGGGTGTTACATTGTACAGTGGCATAATGTGCACCTCTGCCTACCCCTTCGGGATAAAAGGCGTGATGCTATGTAAAAAAAAAAGTTGAAACATAAATAATTTTGCTTTAACTATAATAATGATAATGCACACAATAAAGTTAGGAATTATGAAAATAGGTATATCTATATACGAGGTAAATGCGATAAACAAAACTGATAGCTTTAAATAAATCTAAATAAGAATTTATCTTTTCAGCGGTGGAAAAAGGTCACCTATCGCCCTCTACCTTAGAAGTGATTAGAGATATAGATGAAGCAAAACAAGCCAAAGATATGAACAATGTGCTTGATAACTTAGATAAATGTAGAGACAAGCCTGCTATTATGGCACATCTTCGCAGTGGTATGCAATACATAACAATCGTATACTATTATCTAAAGCTGAGTTAGTTTGTTTGAAGGCGGTAATCTCAGAAACTGCTGGTCCGATTTGAAAAATTATTTTTGTGTTGCATGGTCCATTTACCGAGGAAGGATATAAGCTATAAAGCATCACACTACCATCAATAGGAGCTGAGCAGAACGGATAAAATCGCGCGAAAGTAGCTAGTACCTATTATTATCAATAAAATTAAGTCATTTTTATTCTTAGTGTAGTCAACTCAACTCAATTCTTAGTAAGCCCTCTATCGTATATAGTTGATACCAATACAAAAAATACAATAGTAAATATTATTTTTTTCAGCGGTGATCAGGGGCCAAATGCCACAGACTGTAATGAATGACGTTATTAAAAGTGTATGTAGTAAAGACAGCAAAGATAAAACAATAGAGAAGGTCCAAATAGGTAAGATTTTGAAAAAAAAAATATTATTTACGTGATATACCTCTACAATACCTATTTCAAATACAACTGAGAATGATCTTATGACCAGCGTATAAATACCTAATTATTTGTAAGACTCAAATAATTTTAAGTTGAATAGGGTCCGAGATGACATATCTAACTAACCTGTATCTATCTCTTCATCATCATCATCAACAGCCGGAAGACGTCCACTGCTGGACAAAGGCCTCCCCCTTAGCCCTCCACGTCGAACGACAACTCGCCACCCGCATCCACTGGCTCCCCGCAATTCTGGCGATGTCGTCGGTCCACCTAGCGGGAGGCCTGCCCACGCTTCGTCTTCCGGTCCGTGGTCTCCACTCAAGGACTTTTCTGGCCCATCTGCCGTCAGTCCTTCGAGCGACGTGGCCTGCCCATTGCCACTTTAGTCTGCAGATTTTGCGAGCTATGTCGGTAACTCTTGTTCTTTGGCGAATTTCCATATTTCGGATTTTGTCGCGCAAAGAAACCCCGAGCATAGCTCTCTCCATCGCACGCTGAGCGACTTTGAGCTTCTCCAGAAGGCCAGAGGTCAGGGACCACGTCTCGGTACCATATGTCATCACCGGCAACACACACTGGTTGAACATCCTGGTCTTTAGGCACTGAGGGATTTTCGATGAGAAGATTTCGCGTAACTTCCCGAACGCTGCCCATCCAAGTTGGATTCTTCGGGCGACCTCTTTGTCGAAATTGGACCTACCTAGCTGTATAATCTGCCCTAAGTATGTATAGTGGTCTACAACTTCGAGGATATCGTTCCCAACGATGACCGGTACAGGTGCAACATGGACGTTTGACATGATTTTGGTCTTGTCCATGTTCATTTTAAGACCCACCTGTTGGGAGACGATATTGAGGTCGCTGAGCATGGTGTTCAGATCCTCCAGCGATTCCGCCATGATGACTAC